CCACTTTCCCCACGAAATATGTACCGAGTATTATTAGAAGGCACTCTGTTTGCATGATTATTAATGAGCTTTTTTTGAAACTGGGAAGTTCATGTCCCCAGTTTCCAGGGTTTGGACCCCGGGAAAGCCAATTTTAGTCACAATGAAAATTCGTTGTATCTTATTATTAATGTACTTACATATAGTTAGGCAGAATGTTTTCTTGGTTATTTAGTAAATGATATGCATGTCTTGTGGGCCCAGGGCAGTCTCGTAAGAAGCAATTTCAATTTGGTGGATGCAACCTTACAGAAATACCCGACAAGAAAAAAATAAATAAATAATTAATAAATACTGTTAGATAAAAACAATAAAATACAAGTCTTCAGGCGTATTTGAGGGGGCCACAAACTGTAAACCATCTTTGTTATACTAGTATACTGGCAAAAATTAAGGGGGATAAACTGAAAAATAGCTTTGTGTTCAATAACGAAGTATATACTGGCAAATTGGGAGGGGGGGGGGGACATCGGTTCCTACAGGCCTGCGGGGTTTAAAGTCCTGGTTGGGGCTACATGTAAGTGAAATCATGTTTGCAAAGTTCCATATACATTATTAACGCATGAAAAGTTTATAAATATTCTCTTCTTGGTATGTAGCAAATAAACTTCATGGATAATGAAATGTCAAATGAATTCTGTACAAAAATTGGTGTAATTATTCTTGCGCTTGTGTGTAGAAGTCTATAGTCCCGATGTAGAGTCATGATTCTCAGGTGACCATCGAGGTCATGGGCCTCTTGTATATTACTGCAGCAAGCTACACTTGTACAAGAGTCATATACAGTGCGTACACCGTTTTTGTTGCTTGCTAAAATATTTTGACCCCCCCGGGCCCCCAACACACACACACACACAACTAATGCATTGAATCTCTAAATATAGAAAGACCAAATGTTAATGCATTACGGTTACCGAAAAATGAGGCTCGTTCTCGCCTAGTTCGCAAACTTAAGATAAAACTGTGTTTTTCCTTTTTGTTTTTGTTTTTTGTTGTTGTTTTTTTTTTACATATATATTTTTATGTATTACATTAGGATGCAAAATTTGATATAAGCTATTTAAAAAGTTATGTTACAAAGATTTGTAAAACAATTTGCCCAGGCTTTATTTTTGCTGAATCAAATGTATTTATCAAGAAATTTTGCCATCAATCCATCCTTCTTTTTGCATTCTATCCAAATCTTTACTTTTATACCTACTAGTATATTGAAAATCAGTGCAGAAAGATGAAAAAAAATTGAAATCCTCCAAAAAGATAAATATAAATTTTCTTCAATTTTATCTGTAACAAATGATCTTGCTTAAAAAATCAATGAAATATTAAAAAAAAACTATGATTTAAAAAAAAACACTTTCTCTGGATTTTGGTTATCCTATGACCTTAAATTGTACTGTATTCTACGGACCAAAAATTCCAAAATTTTACTTATATACTATAGTACATGTGTGTTGGGTGAAAATAGGGGTATTCATGAAATTAAGACATTATAGTTAATGCTACATTTTGACGAATTTGCATGCGTGTGTACAAGTAAGTTTATTTATATTTTAAAAAATGAATAGAAACTCTCTCTCTCTCTCTCTCTCTCTCTCTCTCTCTCTCTCTCTCTCTGAAACAAAACTTATTGAATGAATGAAATAGATTAACGTTCAAGGTTCACAGAACACTGTACAAATTAATGGATTGGCATTTAAACTCTAGAGTGTGTGTGTATGTTTATCCCCGATGCACAACGTTGTCTTGGGTTAAAATCTTATTCTTTGAGCCCTATCACCACTGAATCCCTACCCCCGGGAACCTGACCACTATAATTACCGGAATAGTTTCTGGCATGGCATGGCTTACAGAAGACTACTTGAAAGTTTAACAAGGTATATACCAATGTATTGTTATATAAAAAATATGGCTTAATACCGTGTAATATCGTACAAATTTCAAAAAAGGATTTGTTTATGAAGCGTAGGAGTAGCTAGCTCGATTCGAAATCGTCATGTCTGTTAATGCTGGTACGCTCACACAGTAGTAGTTTTCAGATTCTTCAATCACGTTTTCACATTTTTTTTTTGTCATTAGATGTGAAAGAGTTCGATCTATTCGGTTGATTGGTCGGACAGAATAACGTGTTTGTACTTATTTGCATGTCTATTTTAAGCGTCGGGTTATAGGACCAAATGTATATTTAAACATACAGGCATTTAAAGATACCTTTTCAACTTTGCATGGCAATGGTATGGAGGTTTTTTTTTTCTTTTTTGACTATCACCAAGGGAAATCTACACAGCTAATCGATAAGGTAGAAAAGATAGGTGCATATACATGTACTTTAGAAAAAGGCATTGACAATTTTACCAGATACAAATAAAATCAAAATTATGAGAGAAAGAAACTAGGGTACCGAATTGGTGTTAGATTATGTAGAGAAGGGGACTACATGTTTATGGTACCCTTCCCCCTTTTGCAGCTTGAAAATCCAAAATTTCCTTTGTTATTGATTCAGAAGCATGAGTGGGGTGTAAGAGAATTTTCAGAGTTCAGTTAAAGGTTTATTCACTTTTTCCTTAGAATATATTATGGTATTGCACAAAATTTAATCCAAAATATAATTTGCGTTGTTTTGGAGATCAGTTAATCCATGATTTACTCAGTTTAAAATCTGTTAAGGTTCTGCCAAAAAAAATTATTCCACGACTTTATCTATAGTGAGTAAATTTAATATACATGCATTTCCCGTTTGTAGGCGTTGAATAACGGGGGCTAATCATCGCCCGCATAAGCGTCACGGAATTATAAACTGACGTATACGTTAATGTCGGTATATATATGTACATATATATTGTTTCAATAAGCATGCTGGTATGAGACTAAATTTTAAATAGAACCAATCAAAACACAGACTCTTAATTGATATGAGAAAGAGAGAAGGAGAGAGAGAGAGAGATTTAAATCCTGATCTGTGAACCCTTTTTTACGTGTGCTTGATCGATTCTGAATCACCTTTGCTAAAACTAACTCTATATACAACGTACAATGCGTCTTCCCGGCAACACAAATCCGTGATAGCTACTAGTAGCTTACGTCGATGAATTTTACATATTCTATGTCATATATATCTATAGATGAGGATTTTATTGTTTTGGAACTTTGAAATGCCTCTGTACCATGGCTTTTCAGTAAGTTTTTCATTTTATATTGACAAACCCTTATATTTAACAGCTGTTTAAAGGGATAATTTGTAACAGGAGAGGTAACCGTATACACATGCGATGCATGAAAGGATTAATTTGCTTATAATTTTTAGTAAATAGATAGTGTTAGGAATTCAAATATTGTAGATCTTGTACAACTAATGCTAGACTTTTTGCTGGACACTTCGAAAATAAAAGACGTATATTTTATTTCAACGACTTGGTCATATTTTACAGGTTATTAACACAACCCAAAAATTCCATTATGATATAACAATGAGAATGTAATAAAAATGTTTCCCTATATCATATTGGTCCATTGTGCTACTTAATTTCATACAGTTCATTACATGATGTTATAGTGCATAGTAATTCATTATTAGATGCTGACAATGTACTTTAATAATTCTTTAAACAGCTGATTTGTTTTATAAAGTTGTTTCATAAAAGTATACATTTTTTTAAATGTTTGTAGCTGTGCAGGAATGAGGTAATTGTACTTTCGGTTGAAAGGGTACTTTCATTTTGTTACACGCGAAAAGAGAGAGAGAGAGAGGGGGGGATGGTCTTTATTTGGAGGTGTTGTGGTGTCGTGGAGAGTGCTACACATATGAAGGTTATTCAAACAGTAATTTTCTCATTTCGTGGGTAAGTTTGTTTGAAGTGTCACACTGATTATCTGACACATTTCCTTTGCGGAAAGACCCCATCATCGATTTTGTTTTCTGTGTGCCTCGCTTCAGACAGATGTTCGTTTTAATATCATATTTTTTTCCCTTTCCCTATAATAAAAAAAATATTTGTATTGATGGTTATCGATGTGTTCTTGCTTTTTAATTATAACAAAAAAGTGATAGGAACTCTCTCTCTCTCTCTCTCTCTCTCTCTCTCTCTCTCTCTGAAAAGGACACTCATGCAGCGCTGTAATAAGAAATATTTGCATGCATACGTTTATTCATAAGTTAATTAAGAAAAATTCAGACTATCGCGTTCCTTACCGTTTTCTGTCATGAAAGAGAAAAAAAATCATCATATTTAATCTAACTTGAAATGAATTACCTCCATGTAGCCTATTCAGAATGCATGAAGGAAGTGGTGAATTTTATTCAGGATGGTGAGTTTTGGGATACAGAGGGGAAAAATGACATTTCTTTTAGTGATAAGATGAATTCAGAAAAAGAAGTGCTTAAAGGTTAAACCTGTCAATACAAAGTCTTTTTTTTTAAAGGACAGATGATACAAACAAAAATATGGATGCCTGGATTGGTATATATTTTTTGACCTGATTTGGTTGTAAATGATGTGACTAATAAATTTCTAAAATACTAAGACATTCTAAACTTTTCATGATCTTTAAAATTTTACCTTTCTGAAACCATCCTTATTAATCTATACAAAATTTTGTCACTTAAAATCCCATTATTGTGAAACTTCGAATAAAAGATAAAATCTGTGCGGTTAAACTTATTCATTTTACTCATATCAATATTTCTTAGGTTGTTATTTTCAGGATTTTTGATAAAAGTTTGTATGTATCATCTGTCCTTAAATAGATTTAACCAAATTTTCAATCTTGTCAAATGTATATAAGCAGGACCCATGAGAACCATGAGAATTAAGACATTGAACAAGCTTTTTTGGAGGGGGGAGATGAGAGGGGAAAAGATGGGAGTATTCTCTATCTATAAATATCGGGTGCGTATTTCCGACTCTCTTTTCAGTCGGGCTCGGTATATCAATATAGGTCAACTTTCATCAAAGTTCAGAGAAAGAAGGTTACCGATGTTTACTGGTAGTTACTATACAGGTGTATGATCCTTCAATGGTCAGATCATGACAGACGCCAATCCTCTACTGGACCCAGAGAAAATATGTCGTTACGACTCCTTTCCAGACTTTTTACGTTCTATTTCTTATTTTAGCGATGATGATGACGATTTTGAGGAACTACCGGACTTTCAATTCACGGAGGATACAAGTGTTGGAGAGGTCGATCTTTTCGATTATCCGGACGAATCGGGTCAGCATTGTAAGTAGAAAAAGCGAAATAAATATATATGCTTTATGCATAAAGGATTTGAGAACACTCATTGCAGTGGTACTATATTATCTTGGCTGCTTTCAAGATTGTAGCCCTAGCATAGCAGCTATAGGCTAGATATCTAAGGTCTTATTGATCACACCGTATGAATTATTGCTATAATTATGGCTAGGCTAGCATATCATTCAAGGTTGAAGTGGCTACGTAGATTTCATAGATCTATGTAGCTGCTATACTCCTATAGGATCTTGAATGCAGCCTTGAAATGGGAGGCAGCCAAACCTGGTTCAATAAGAATTATATTGTGTAACGGAGGAAGTGCTCATTAACAGTTCCTAGCAAATAATTAGAATTTGTTCACCAATTGTGTTGAAGTCAATGGAATTATATAATAAGTAAAGGAACATGACATTTATTTCCAGCTGAAATTTCTTCATTTTTTATTGTCCATGATTTAAATATGTAGATCTGTAAAAATTGAAATTTGGAAGCATGAATTATAGCTGATATGAAACACTATAGCTTGTACACTAACAGGATGTTAGTAATTAAGTTTGAATCTTACAATGATTGTATTGTTAACTTATTATACATGTATGATTGGTTACATGTGCTTATTCAGTATACATGTAATATTAATAATTTTAAGTACACATGTATTGGCTAAGAGTAAGTTTCTGTGTTTGAATTTATACTAAAGTCTAATGCAAAGTACTGATTTATGCCAATTAAGTCCTTTTGTCCCAGAAACAACACACTGAAATTCAGGCATAAATTATTATAGGCATTGGTCATCATGATGGTTAACCGAATTAATATGATCAAAATCAGATCCAAAAATTTGAACTCTTTTTAATGCTTCTAAAATAAGTTCTGTGTGTATCATATCAGTTTGACCATCTGTTCATCTACCCGTGCAGGATCCAATCACCTTAATTAAACTATACATTGATATTACATGTACTGTATATTAATACGAGGGTTGTTCGAAAAGTTCGTGGACGATGTCAATCTTTGTTATACTACTTCCAAGAAATTTAAGATAAGCACAATATCATGTGTAAAAATATTTGTTTTGTTGATCTGTGAAATTTCATTCCATTCGATTTGATAGAAATTAATTTACTTCATTTTAAAATCAACATGTTTTGTAACCACGGCGCACACTTAAAAGCAATGTAACGTCAAAAACATAGCGTCAAGAGTTTCTTAAAAATTCTATCCCTATACATTCACACAGTATAGTCCAATACCCACGTATTAAAAACCTTTTTCAATCACTTGACATTTATTTTTCTAACAATTGTTCTCATTTTATAATTTCCTTTGTTAATGTTTAATTTCTTTTACCGCTTAACTGTGCTTTCACAAGATCAGCAACTCTGAAGCACCTACGTCTTTCCATGACGTCCCAACTTTTAAAAGTTTTCGTTCAGATTTTTACAGTTAAACCGTTTCTTCACAGATTGTCCTCATCCGATACAGAGTCTCTGTCACTCAAATACCGCATGTACCATTTACACACACATGCACTACTCGCTTGTGGCATATTTTCTGATTCCTTCTAATTTTTAGCGTTTATTCAGGATTTTCCCCGAGTATAACACAAAACTGCATCGTTATCCGCTGCTCCGTGACGTTCTATGTTCTCGTTTTTATCGTTTTCAATGAGGACTACCTATCTTCTCAAATTGATTTCTTTTTACCGAAGCAAAATATTAAGCCATAATTTGGAATACGAATCGATGTAACAGTTCTTAATTTAACCGTCTAGGATTTTTTTGTTTTTGCTCCATTTTGCAGAGAAGATGACTACAGACATTATTTAGTGTATTGTTTGTAAATTACTAAAGTTTGACCTGCGCCGCGATTCGATTTTTGCAGTTTTTAATTATGGATAAGTTTTAAATTAATCATGATATTTCTGAAAATTTTAATACAAATCATTTAGATTTATTGTTAAAATATTTCTACCAAATTTGGATAACATATGACGGTAAATAAAAAAGATATGACAGAAGTCCACAAACTTTCCGAACAACCCTCATATATATATAATACATAAAACTTGCTTATACATATGAATCAAGGTTGTAATCTTTAAATGAAGTCATTTGTGTGATGTTACTGTTTTATTTTCAAGCACTCCCTGCATGTAAAGTTTTCTGTGGAATATTTGCACAATGTAAATTCTCTTTCATATTTTAGTACCAAACTATCCATTTTCCACCATTCACAACAAACCGATTCCATTTACAACATTAAGGACAAACTGTTGGATCCCGCGGACCGACGTAGAGGTCAAAGTAATAGAAGCTGAACGAGTGGACGCTCATACCAAACTCTTCAATCCAAACTTGTAAGTTCTCTATCATGTTAGAGGCTGATCTCATTGATAAAGATTACATTTACAGTCAAACCTTGTTATTTTGAACTTGATTGAGCCAAGGAAAACTTTGAGGTATCGGAATATTCAAAAAACTAAAATTAAAATAGATTAAGAAGAAGTAGTTGGGGATTTTAACTTACTTAAATGTATGCCAGATATTCTAAATATCTTTGTCTGAGATACTGAAGTTCAACTGTACATATAATTTTATGTTTTGTGGTCTTCACTAAAAAAAAATATAATGTTGACTATACTATTGCATCACATGTGATACGCTTACATTAGAAAGAAAAGTTTACTTAGTATAAAGTCAATCTGCAGAGTTCAACATTCTGTGATTCATATATTGTGTCAAGATAATATTCAGAAAAAAAGGTGAAAAAGGAAACATCCCTAAGGGTGCTTCGTATTTCAAATATCTCTTGATTTTCAATTAAAAAAATGAGGACTTTTTTTTTAGAGAGTCTTTTATAACTAAAGAATCAAAACAGATGATCAGTTTATAGTGAATAAATTTGTTTGTTTGTTTAACATCCCTTTCAAGAATTTTTCACTCATATTGAGAAGCCACCACTTGCTGGTGGAGGGTTGCAAATTTCAAACCTATACTCGGAACTCAGGGCCATTGAGCGGTGAGGGATCTTTTTCATGCCAGCACCTATTGTGACATGGGACCTCGATTTATATGGTCTTATCCGAAGGATCAGTCTCCATGTCTCGCAGTGGGATTCGAAACCCCGACATAAGGATCAACTTCTTACATTGCGACCAGAACAAATGCTCTTACCACTGCATTATAGTGAATAAAAGTGTTTGATGAATTTTAAATTGTTTAGTTTGTCTCACATTAAAATTTATCTGCTAATGCAGCTATCATCAATATTCCATCTCCTATATCATAACAAAAATATTTTAATGTTCAATCAGAGGACCTATAAGGTATGTGTTTCCAGTGAAAAATCAACAGAATCTATAGAAGTGCACATGAAGTAGAGTATTAGATTCAGTTGTTTGGCTTGAGTAGCCTTGCAAACTATAGAAAAGATAAAATACGTAAAGAACATACACTTTACTCCAAACAATCGACTCGATTAAATGCATTATTTGTATTAGTCAGCAACTATGTATCTTTTGGATTTCAAAATCAAGCAAGTTCATTATGTATTAACTTATTTATGTGCATATTTTACTGTGACTCTGGATGAATTTTTATTTCAAGTTGTTTAAGACTGCAGCTGCTTAACAGGAAGGGAAGGCCTTCAGGGGCCTCTAGAAAATCCTTAATAATACTGTCAATGACAAATACCTTATAAGTCTATATTCCCAGAGAATCAAATTAAATGATGGCGTTTAGCTTTAGTTCCTTTTCTGAGCTGATAGATCTAATAAAGGCATTTTCAGAGCAATTCTGCTGGGATATCATTTATGTATGAAGGAACTCCAATATGGGCATTTCCTTGCAATAATATGATGCTGATTAGGTAATTTCTGAGGAAGAAAGTAATTTGAATGCTTGCCAGGGTGAATTTTTATGTCATAAAACTTAATTGTATACAGCAATGATGTTATAAATATGTGCCTTTAATTTGCTCTTTTCTGAGAATATTATTACATCTTTCAAATGTGGTAATGTGAGCAGATTTAGACTTTCCCCACCTCCTCATTAAAAGTAAAAGTAAAAATCAAAAGTTATATCATATTTTAAAGGCTTTGTGAGCAGACTTTTGAATTTGGTATATCTTAAAGTGAATCTAAGATCCTGAATATAAATAGAGTGACTTCTTGATTTTACATCAATAATTTTGTCAGTTTAACATCTCTAAAGCATATGCTCTGCTATGTTTTGAAAATTTTCCTGCTTTAGGGTATATGTTGTAACAGTTGCAGTATGCTGTTACATTCTTTTATGCCATTTCAAACCAGTTGGAGGGTACACTCCTATACAGGTACAAATGATAGTCTGTACATTTATACCTGCTTTTATAACCCATCTCTCTGTGTTGTTGTTAGAAGATCAATGCTGTAATTTTAGGTTCCATTGATCAAACAGTTATACTGATGATCAAAAGCCTTTTTAAGTGCTTCTGATGCAAAAATATTTTCTTTTTTCTTCAAAATTATTTTGCTGAATCAGATATCAATTATAATTTTTTGTGTGTGTGTGCTAAGAATGATTATGTGTGTTTAGATGAAGAAACAAAAAAGTCGTTATCATTGCACATCATTAAGAATTACATCATATATGAATTCAAGATGAATAATTTTTTTTTTTTTTGGTTTCTTTGAAGATGAAGAATGGTGTAAAACTACTGACTTCCTGCTTGATAGGCTACTGATATTATGGACTCTATTTTCCTCCATAATAGCTAATACAGTAAAACACATTTATATTGAACATGCTTTTTAAGCAAATTCATGATTACAGCAAAGTGATTTTCATTTCCTGAGGTTTTAAAATGAATTTTGAACTTAACAGATAGAATGAATTACATTATTTATATGAAGCAAAACTGTTCGTCCCTGGCACTTTGCTATAAGCATGTTTTACTGTATTTAGTTATTCATCAAGAAACGTGTACTGAATAATGTACATTCTGAATGCAATAATCTAATACCTGGTCATTTTATTGTAGGTATACAATTCAAGTTAAACACGGCACATTCCAATGGACAGTGAAACGTCGGTACAAACACTTTGCCAACTTACATCAGCACTTACGATTGTTCCGGATGAAGCACAAATTCCCTGTCCCAAGCAAGGCGTAAGTTTCAGACCCCATGTTTATGAATGAATCAATGTTATACATATGGGTAAAATATTGTAGGTTTCTGTTTCATATTTCTGAAAACAATGTATCTCAAAAAAAAAAATTGTGCTTTAATATCCTTCAGAAATTTTTATATACACAGCTTTATTGGAAGAAATCTTACAACAACAATACAATTATATTCTTAAAACTGGAAAAAAAAAGAAGAAGAAATCTTCATAATTCATGTTTATACTATTTTAGTGAAATTCTATACAGCTTTAAACATATACATGTATATGTTATTATGTATATGCAGAGGTGATTTACATTCATTGCATAAAATTTCTCTCTGATACCACAAAATATTAAGAATAAGTTACATTTCTCATATATTATTAATTAGATAGGAAGTCCTAGTTTTACAACTCTTTATTTTGGACATAGATATTATAACAGGGTATTTAATTGCATACATGTGTTATGTGATCTAACATTATGCATGTGATGTTGTGTGGTATAAATATGTGTAGATATATATATGAGCTGTATAGATCATTAAGGTTTATTTGTAAATATCTTCTGTTTTCCTAGGTTTCCAAGGTAACTGTTAGGCTAGTGAGTCTTCCCATCTCTGCATGTCACAAAATCCAAACAATTTCTTTGATTTTTTTTTTTTTTTTAAAATGTATTTAAAAACATTTTTGAATTAATTTAAGATCTGTACCATTATTTGCACCAGCCATTCAAAATTCCAAATTATATTTATTTTATTAACAATGTTTTGACTTGGACACAGCATTTGAAAACCTTACAGAGATTTATCTTTGCCAAAACCACCATGGAACACCACAGTTGACATGGAGCACACACAATTATAGTGATCCCAGTGCATGGTGACTAAGATTGATAAATCTGTGTAAACAATTAGTGAAATATTTCACCATGTTTATGTACTTTTATTGTAATTAGCTTATTTCGGCTGCTGTTTTATTTTCCTTCTTTTTTGCTCCATTATATTTGAAAAATGAGTGCTCCCATGCAATTGGAAATGCCTGTGGACACAGATTTAAATTTGATTTGATTTATTCATTGACCTGAAGTGCGTTAATACATTTGATTATTGGAAATTGAAATAGCTTAAGTATTTGTTCAAGTCCTTGGACACTTCTTCTGCAAACAGATATCAATGAGTTTATGACTGTAGTTGATAGCTCTTGTCAGATTTTCTGTTTCTGTCCCATCTTCACAAACACATGCACCACTCCCCCAACAATTAATTTCACTTCCTTGTATAAAGCACATGTTTCAAGTCTTAAAAAAAAATCAATTTTGTTAATGGTTTTAGAAAAAAAAAATAGTGTTAAATTATTGAAGAATTCGGAATTTTGTATAATTGTAAAGTATTGATTATTTCCAACAAAGATTGTTTTCTTTCTCGTTTTGTATCAGTTTTTATTGGACATGCAAATACTGTGTGTATACCTGCATTTAGAAAGAGATAAACTGATGCTATAGATATGACAGTGTCAGTTTTTGTTTTGTCATCATGTAGGTTGCCAAGTGAGAAATTGATATTATTTCTGATGAGTGTAGAATTCATTTCAGAATTAAGTTATAATGATACATGTACATGTTTATGACAATCTTGTGAATTGTTCTTGGGGTAATGAAAGTAGATCTTTTTAAATTTGATCAATCAATAACAGAGATGAAACGATAATGGGCTCCAAAGATTGTAGGGGTACAATAATGCACACAGGAAGCTTATACAAAACAGCTGATGCACTTTGTAAGATGGTATTATTAAGGCCTAACGACAGCTAATACAGCAAAATTTGAATAAATAAATATTTCCAGATGAATTTTGAAGTGTTGTTAGGATTTTTCACCATGGATAATAACAGACTGATAAAAGAGAAATGAAAACATTCTCATATTTGAAAGAAATTAAAGAAAAAAACATTTTTTAAATTTTTTTTCAAATATTACACATATAAATGATAAAATATACATAGTAAATAAATCTTCCATTGCCTTTTCAGGTCTCCCGAACTGAAGGCTCAAGTGAGCTTTTCTGATCACATTTTGTCCAACGTCTGCCTGTCTGTCTGCTTGTAAACTTTTGTAAATGTTTGTAAACATTTTTTACTTCTTTTCAAGAACCACTGGGCCAATTTCAACTAAACTTGCCACAAAGTATCCTTTGGTGAAGGGGATTCAAGTTTGTTCAACTGAAGGGCCACGTTCTCTTTCAAAGGGAGATGATTAGGAATTAATGAAAAATTAATAGCATCTTTTAAAAATCTTCTCAAGAACCGCTGGGCCAGGAAAGATGAAACTTATGTGGAAACATCCTCAGGTAGTTTAGATTCAAGTTTGTTCAAATCATGCATCCTGGTGGGACCACAATGGGCGATTAAAGTTTTACATAGGAATGCATGGGAAAATTTTAAAAAAAATCTTCTTTTCAAGAACAGCAAAGCCATGATTGGTCATTTTTATATGGAGGCATCCTCAGGTAGTGTAGATTCAAGTTTGTTCAAATCATGACCGGGGGGTAAGGAAGAGCCACTGACAATGAGTTTCAAAGTTTTACAAAGGAATATATAGGAAAAATCTTTAAAAATCTTCTTTTAAGAACAATAAAGCCATTGGTCATATTAATATGGAAGTATCCTCAGGTAGTGAAGATTCAAATTTGTTCAAATTATGGCTTCTGGGGTAAGTGGGACCGCAATGGGCAATCAAAGTTTTACATAGTTATGCATAGGAAAAATCTTTAAAAATCTTTTTCTCATGAACAACAAAGCCATGGTTGGTTACATTTATATGGAACCATCCTCAGGTAATGTAGATTCATTATGACAAGTATGTTTAAAATATGACCCAAGGGGGTAGGATGGAGCCACAATGGATGATCACAGTTTTAAATAGAATTATAATGGAAAAATCATTAAAATTCTTCTTTTTAAGAACAGCAATGCCATGAGAAGTCATATTAATACAGAAGCATTCTAAGGTAATGTAGATATAGTTTTTCAAAATCGTGATCCCAGGGGTAAGAGTGGGGCCCACAATAGAAAATCAATTTCATATAGTAAAAAAATCTTTAAAAATCTTCGAAAACCATGATTAATCAAAGAAATATGGCAGCATCCTCAGTTAGTGAAGATTCATCTTTGTTCAAATTATGCCCCTCCCTCCCCTCCCCCGGGGAGTAGGTTTGGACCACTTATACATGTATATTTAAACTTTTCAATACTGAATCAGTGCTGCACTGATTTCTGCTCTACCAAGCCAAAGTGCTCAGGTGAATGATGCGGCCCATGGGCCTCTTGTTCTGACACTGTGTTCATTAAAATTGATTTTTGAATTTAAAATATACAAAATTGTTTATAGTTATCCATGCATGGACAATTTTGTGTTAAATAATAGTGTACTTAATACAAATGAATGTGCTTGTTACATTTGATTTATTGAGAAATCGATGATGGAGAGATATAAATCTTTCCATTTTAAAATTATAATAGTACATTAAACTGCTGTATAGAGGAAATGATAATAGATGTAATGATTTTGTACAAAGTTCAGGAAAGGATAAGAATTGTTATGATAGACTGAAAACTGGAGTCACAATCTGTCCCAGTCCTAGGAGTTGAAACCAATTGTGAGAATTGATTATCTTTCAGAAATGTTTTATTATCAGGATCATATTGACTGCAGACTGCATGAACAGTTTTATGGTGATCTATGCAAATATTATTACAAAGAACATATTTTATACATGATTATGGATGCTGACAAATAAAGATGATCCTTACAGAGTCTCAATATAACAACGAACATTTTAATGAATAGCGTATGTTGTTATACCTCGATGAACTTTTTCTTTATAAAATACTGTATGTGTACTTAAAAAAGCGAGCTTAATATTTTAGCAGGTTTGGCGTGGTCAACAATTCACTAATTCATGAATACCGTTCAATAATTCATATATAAATACATAGCGTGGATGTGTTTAACGCTAATTCATGATTACGCTAACCACTCAATACCCAGTGACTGCGCTAAATTTTGAATACGTCAATTTATGTACATGTCCAATATGACGAGTAAACCTGCTATTTTTTCTAAACAGTCCCTACCCTGGAATAGTTTTTGTGCTATTTGCCCATGGAATAGTCATTGAACTAATCACCGGCAGCATTCGATTTCCCTTGCGTTTCATCTCAGAACTCTTATGGTTTTATCTAGATTGTGACGTGACACAAGTAAAGTGTGCTTTAGTATAATAAAAGGTCTATTTACTAACTAATACATTTTCAGACGTTAATAGGGAGTTAATTTTCCCCCCAAGACAGCAACTATTTCCCCCCAGCTGCACCTCGGGAAATAGCCAGTGAATAGTTGTATTATATTTTTTATTTCATTACCTGTAAGAAAATAAGAAAGCATGGATTGCAAGCTAAATTGAAACTGTTTAATTTCTAATATGCAAGAACTACATGTACAAGAAAATGTCAGCAATAGAAACAAATGAGTTTGTTACTCGACACAGACTCATTAAAAATTTGATTTCATGTAAAAATAATATATGATATGTAAAAGATATCTTTCAGTAGATTCCAAAATTGATTATCAGAAGAACAATGGTTACCATGGTGACAGTGATGAGACTGAGGCATTTTTGTGTATGCCACTTCCCACAGTATATATAGATAGATAGGACAGTACAAGCCTTGTTTATAGCCCTCTGTTGTTTATAGATTTTCTGTCACTTTTATTCCCCATTCATAACTTTTATTTATTTTCTTTCTTGCTTTAGATCATTAAACGTGAATTATTTTTTGTTCTAATCCATATCATTTGGAAGTTTGAGTTATCATGTGGTATCCTTGGTAACAATTATTAATAAAGTATTTTATGGATTTTTAGGTTTTTATGATGAGATTTATTACATGGTAAAATTGTGATTTTTGAAATTAAGATTGAAGATTTATTTTGGATCCATGATCAGATGAAAATTAAGCAAAATAGAAAAGAAAAGAACAGTTTGTATGCACACCTTAAGGACCATAAGTAAAATGAATGGTTATTGCATTACCTAGCTGAATTACCAAAACATATGCATTCACTCAAATTTGGTTTGTCCTTTATTGGAATAATAAATAGATGCATATTCATATTTGAGGACATATTTTTGAATAATTACATGTATAATATATATAAATCTAAAAATACCAGTACTTTAAAGTTCATTTTAATAGTTACAATTTTTTACTGTGTATATGGCTTCTAAAAGCCATGCTTGAAAATTTTTTTAACCAGCAAAAAAAGAAGAGAATTCATGCAATGTATGCTCTTGAAAAGAAATTTAAATTGATATTATTGTCAAAATGCAAGACTTTATTATTTATTACCTGAATGATTTATAGATTGTACCAAATAACTGTAGTATTTGAGTATCATTGTTCCTAATTCTCCTGCCCCATTGTTGTTGTTTTTAAATAAATTTAATTTAAATTTAAATATGTGATCTTTTTATAACAGTCACAAAGAAAGAAGACAGTCTCTCCATGGAACAAGAAAAGTTCCACGATTTCCCAAAAAACCAGACATCATGGTCCGTACAGAGAAAGACTACGAAAAACGAAAGGTACAAATTTAGTTTTGCAAAACTTTTCGGTTCAGAGATTAGAAAATCATTAAAAAGATAAGGAAATTATTAATCAATGATTCATATACTTTTTCATTCGATTGAATTTATCCAATATGCTTTAGCTTGTATGTATACTGAATCTTTGTAGCGCCACCTAGAGGACTACCTGCAGGCCCTTGTCAGCATCAGTGTATACAGAAATCATATAGAAACGGTAAGTCATATTACTGTAAAAGCTGTATGCGATACATGCACATTTTTGGCCCCCATAAAAGTCATGTTTAAGATAGATATATCTTGCTCTTGCAGTTGTGTGTGTTGTTTAAGTTAAATTTTTTTGCTCTTGCAGTAGTGTGTGTGTAATGTTTAAGAATGTTGTTTCTTGCTTTTGCAGTTGAAGTTTTTTGAAGTGAGCCACTTGTCTTTTGTTGAAAAACTTGGCCAGAAGAGAAAAGAGGGGATGGTGATGAAATGTTCAGGGGGTCGTCACATCAGTATAGGCTGCTGTGGGTGTCTGAGGAGGTTCCATCTGGCCGGGAGGTGGAAAAAAAGGTCTGTGTACAATAAAAGACGCTTATAACAAACTGCCAGGGATGGACTATTTTGCATCATTTTAAACATAATTCATTATATCCATTAATTAATTTTAAAATATAATGACTTAATGGCTCTGCTTATAGATGGCTATTTCTAAAGGACTCCTATCTGGCTTATGTTCGTCCCAAGGATGGAGTTATCTGTGATGTCATGCTGTTGGATGCTGATTTCTGTGTGGAGAATGGATTTGGATTAACTGGGGCCAAACATGGTCTACAAATTGTAAACCTAAACAGGTACTCTCCCCTAGTATGTGAAAATCTAAATCAGGGCTTATCCACAATTGATTAAGTTAATCCAGATTAACTTAATCCGGAAAACGTACTACTTACATATAAGTGAAGCTTTAGTTTATTTGCAGATGTCTGTTAGCTAAGTGTTGGACAGGACGGAAGGCTGACGAGTGGCAGGCAGCCATTGAGGAAGTTGCTAAGACCACTGGGAAGGATTACACGACCATGTCCAGGTTCCAGGCTTTTGCTCCTGTACGGGAAAAGAGTTATGCGCATTGGTAAGATTTTCATTTTCATGATATTGGAGGCAAACTTGTATGTTTAGGAAGTGGAAAAAGAGTTCTAAGCAAGAATATTGGATCAAAGATTATAACTCGAATAATCCAACACATACATGTATATCTATCCATAATGTAAATAAGGTAAATTTATTCAAATTATTACAGCTGTCAAGCCATTGTGCATACATGTAGAAGATTTAAACTTCATACTTGCATTTTTGTGAACTTAAGTCAATTTGTTAAATTTTCTCCGAAGTAGACATTCTAAAACACATTCATCTTTTGTTTTAAGAGACCAGTAATCGAATTTTTTTTCTTTTTGAAATTTTACCACAGTCTCTCTGTGTATTTTATTGGCTAGTTACTGACAATATTGATCTTAATCGTAGGTTTATAGATGGTGATGCCTATTTCTCAGCAGTTGCAGATGCACTAGAGGATGCTAAAGAGGAAATTTTCATTTCAGATTGGTGGTATGTGTAAACATTATTGCAAGGGAAAAATAAATTTGTAATAATCACAATTTAAATCTCAAAATTTAAGAGATTTTTTACTGTGCTGTTTTGTATTTGTGTATGCATTACATACACTGTACATCAAAAGTACATTTGTACACTATTGTACAAAGAAAATGTAAGAAATGATTTTTGTAAACAATTTCTTTTAGGCTCAGTCCTGAGATATACATGAAAAGACCCATCACAGAGGGCAACAAATGGCGTCTTGACAGCATATTACGAAGGAAAGCGGTGAGGGCTATTATCTTAATGATAACTTAACGTACCGTAAAGTCGCTTGTATTAGCCACACTTTTTTTCTTCAGAAAATTGTTTAAAATTAGGGATGCGCTTAATACATCGGAACAAAATACAACCCCCTTTTTTCCAGGTCACGAGGACCACTTTCCCGATCCGTTTGAATTGATTAGGCCTACTCTTTGTAACCAATTACGTCAAAGTTTATTACTATTACTCTAATTTTAGAGTCATATACGTCAGCCCTACCTGTTGTAGTCATATATATCTACCCTACCTGTTGAAAAAAATAGATAATCGTTTCATAAATAAAATATTAATGAAAAACGATCTTTGCTTGTTTTTTTTTTTTCCATTGCATATATTCCGCCATTTTGAACTACCGTCACTTACATCGTATACAAGAACTGCATGTCGCTTAAGACATAGATATATTAATACTTAAAAATGAGTCAACCACTATAATCTTTGTGATATATTCTGAATTATCCATAATTCAATATATTATTTTTATTTTTTTTAAAATTTCAGATATGCAATTAGAAGTGCAAATCGTTAGGGATTCTGTTGTCGCGTCATTGCTATATATAACTTCAGTCTGTCACGTAAGACATGACCATTGTTTATTTAACAATTATCACCTCAACACCTGCAATGAAAGCGACGCGTTTTTTAAAAGAACTTTATTAAAACATATTTCAGTCAGAAGCACATATAAAAACGTATTTTGTAACATTCAAGAAAATATTCATAAGACATAAATATTAAAATGTTCAATTAGCACGTCATCATGGTCACAGCACTGATTGTTCATTGCACTAGCTAACTAAAATAGTTATCAATGGATACCAAGAACTGTTTAATTACGCAAAGCCAAACCTTTGACACTAATATCGCTTGGGTATGATTTTTGTTTACGTAAATACGGACACGCGCTTTTTATGCTTTATACCGGTAAGCATAACTTCATAACATGCTTGGAATTACTTTGAAAAGAAAATAATCAGGTATTTCTTTTATCATCTCTGGTTAGATAATTATTTAAAAGATTAAATTTAAATGTTCACACATGCACACTTATAATACGTAGTGTAAAAAAGCTGACTCGCTACTTTCGTTTGAGATTCATAAATTTTCCTACTTTCATCTTAAGTTACTGTACCAGAAAAATTAAAGTCACATTCAATTTATGCGTTTTTTGGATGCGCATTTTACATAGGACCTGCGGTTTTTTCAGGATTTTCACCCCAACTTTGGGGGTGCGTCTTTTACACCATTGCGGCCAATACTCGCGACTTTACGGTAGGCTAAAAATCTAACATTTAATTATAAAACGTTTTTTTAGAGTGATGGAGGATACATTGTTTATGCTGAATGTGTTTTTGACTTGTGGTGTATTATGATGCAATCATTTATCAAGATATGAAAACTTCAGCCATTTCTCCATATGAAGAAGGTCAGGGAAAATTAAGAACAGCTTATTTTTTTTATTTCAAATAACTATTTTTTTATCTAGATAAGCGGAGTAAAGATCTTTGTGTTATTGTACAAGGAGATGACTATCGCTGTTAACTTGTCTAGTTCATACAGTAAACACACATTGGTCAACCTCTGTCCAGAGAACATCAAGGTAAACAGTGGATGTTTGGTACAGTTTGTAACAATGTCAGTTGTCTTTGTCATTCTGTATTATTAAAATCATATACTCTGAAAACTTTTGCCAAATGATTGATCATAATCATATTTAGCATAATTTTCTCATGTTATGAATTTGCATGAACAAACTAACAACACTTATTCCAAGTATCATGTGTAAAATATAGATTTCTGATGGTAGTTTCATGTCAATCAGTTAACATACTGATAATAATTTGTAATTTCCCCCCCTCAGTATATATAGTGTGTGTATTTGTGTACTGTTGGAATATTTTTATATTTGTGCATGTACAAGTTAGATTAAGAAAAGGTGAACAGTAATGAAAATACATTTTCAGGTACTACGTCACCCAGACCACGGTGCAGGGGGCGTCCTTCTATGGGCCCACCATGAAAAAATAGTGGCCATTGACCAGAAGGTGGCATTCCTGGGGGGACTGGACCTGTGTTACGGGCGCTGGGACAACCACACTCACCCCCTCACAGATTTAGGGAGTATAACGTATGATAATACCAACCAGAATGTTATAGAGAAACAGGACAGCTTACCGGTGAGTCATTTTAAGTTTCTAAGCTTAAGTCATTTTATCATGCATTTAAAATTTTTGTTTGAATATCATAAGAGACCAGTGCATTAAGTAGTGTGGTATTTATTACCAGGTTTGCTATCAGATATCTGTGCTGTTGGATTTGACTTTTAAAAATGTTAAACCTAAGGATTGATATAATATGAAATAATATTTGAAAATTCATTAAATGTGACTTGAATATCTGAAATTCATATTTGTAGCTAATTTGAAGACGACTAATTGAACTGATTAAGCATTAAGGTTTAAAAATTTTCAGGTATCAGAAGCAGATGACCATGCTTTTGCCCAGAAAAGCAAGGAAAATGTTAAGTCAGAGGACATTATAGAGGATCTCAATGGCATTACTCTAAATATTACTCCACCAAGTCCAAAACTGGGAAAATCTGACAGTGACCCTGAATGTGTGTGTGGTCGAGAGAGGACAGGCACTAACCATAGTGACAAAAGTTATGACAATCAGTCACTGGAGGCAGAAGACATGCAGAATCTGATTGGTTCAGGACCTCAGAATCAAACTGTTGTCATGGCAACTGTGCACTCTGACCCTGCAGCAAGTGAAACAAACCCCAATCAGAAAAGCTATGCAGAGAGGAATAGTTCCTCAGTGGAGGCATCATCAAAAAGAGAAAGTGGTGAAGAAGAAAAAGAAGAATCAGATACGGAGTCAGTCAAAGATCTGAAGAAAAATTCCAAACCCAGACTGGAAAGGATGGAATCCACGACGGAGCATGCAGAGAAGTATATGGAGAGAGAGTCGGATGAAGACATACCCGTGATCAGTGAAAATACAGCTGATGTGTACTCTATGAGTGCGAAAGACGTCCAAGAGGCATTACATCGAAAAAGTGGGAAAAGTTTTAAGGCGAAAGATGAGAAAGCACGGGTGCATTTCTCTGGTGATGGTGTTGAAAGGGATTCTGAGGCTATATTTGATTCTGATGAAAAAGATGATCATAATGTAGGTGTAGAGATTAAAGGATATCATAAACTTAACAGTGAAAATCAGAGTAGCTTTAGGGAAAATAATAGGGCAGCTAGTGATTCTCAACTAATTGATCAAATTGTGCGTAGTCCAAGTGTCAAAGAAGGTAAATCAGAATCTACACAAGAGACAGCTGACCAGGACAAGGGAACCAAGAGGGAGAGCTGGGCCATGAGAAAGTTACGCCGGACTCTTAGTCACGGACACGAGCGAAACAACAACATAAATATCAACACCGGGGAACAAACTGAGGATAGTGGACCTCAATCACCAACTGCATTAAATCGGTGGAAACTAGTTCTGAATGTTCAAAAGTTCCAGTCAGCCGTCAAACAACAACAGCAGGAACCAGTTCCTTTTCCCAAAGAAAAGAAACCCCTGACACCAAAGATTAGTAAGCTGGTAGGTATTAATGGACAAGTTTTAACCTTACATTTTTTAGTATAAACAATAAATGTGAAATTGTAGTGACTGGTAATACCGGTAAATAGAATAAATACTTGTCTGTATTCCTTACTTGTGTATATCAGCTACAGGTATATGTATACTGGTTCATGTATATCTAACATCTCTTTATATTTCAGTTTCACTTGGATAGATCCAATAGAGACAGTTCACTTGATCTAAAGGACAGGTCAGTTAAATATACAGGCAATTAAAGTTTTGCATTTGATGTACTGTGTTTACGGAGTAAACTTTTAGAGATATTTATTGACCAATAAATTAATGATATATGATTTGTAGACATAAGGCCAACGTTAAAGTCAGTAACAGGTACTGACAATCTTAAGGAAAGAATTTAAAAGGTGCCAAGTGAACTTTCAATTCCATACTTACAACAAAATTACTAAAAAGTCAGGGAAAATATTCCATTCATTTGATTTGTGGAAAAGTACTTTGACTTTTTTAGTGTCATGCATGTACTTGCTAAAAAGATACAGAAGAAAGTTATTCATACATTAATGTATTAGGACCTTAGGTCAATAATTAAGGTCAAATCAGTAAAAGATTTTTAAATGTTGTGAGTAAAGTACATCTGTAAACTATTGCTAGTTGCAGTGAAATACTCTGCAATGCACAAGTTATTTTTGAAAAAATATAAATTCCATACATGTTAACTCAGCTTTCTGTCATATTCATGCTTGATTATATATTTTTTACTTTCTTTTAGAAAGGCAGTATTATATAAATCACCGTTTTGTTTTTCAGCCTTGAGAAGCCAGCATTGATACAGAGAACCAAGAGTGAGATAGCTATAGATGAATTAGGACTGAAAGGATCCTCGAAACTCTGGATAGGCAAGGATTACTGTAACAACATACACAAGGACTTCGTGGATCTTAATGCTCCATTTGAAGGTCTGTTTGCCCTGTATTCTCTGTAGTTACAAGTACATTGTAACAAATTAAATTTAGTGTAGTTGTAAAAGCTCTAGAGTTGCTTCCCCTTCCAAAAACCTGTGATGAGCATTTCGTAAGAAAGAATTTTTAGTATATGTTAAAAAGAAAAAAAAGAAAAAGAAAACTGAAATTGTTCGTATTAAAAATGATGTATCTGTATGTGAAAAAAGTTATACAAGTAAATTTACAGTCACAATATTTGAAAATTGGATTTGAACTTTGTCACAATCTTTTTGTTATTCATTGCATATTCACATTGTATTTCAGATTTTATTGATCGATATAAAACTCCACGAATGCCATGGCATGACATTGGAGCAGTGGTTTATGGGAAGGCAGCTAGAGATGTTTCCAGGCATTTCATTGGTCGATGGAATATAACAAAGGTAAAAATTACTGGAATTAATATTTAACAGTTTTTCAAAATCTTTAATTTTAGACATGAGTAGTGAAGTACAAACATGTATATATTTATTAAATCGTGTATCAACATGACAACTGGAAATTCTCTTTGTAAGGAGAGCTAGTACTTTCATTGGCTTACAATTAGCTGCTGAAGCCTATATTCTTATTCAATAAATTAAAAATCAATTATTTTGACTTGAGAGAAGTAAATTTTGTAGAACTAATCAATAACATTTTCACATTATTATTTCAGCAAGAGAAATGTAAGAACAACAAGGAATTTCCTCTGTTGTTACCCAAAGCTTATGCTCAAGATAATACTCTACCTCCATCTATAACGGGGTCATGTCACGAGGTCAAAACACAGGTCAGTAGGTCAGGCAGGAGTTCACTGCATGTGTACTTACATCCAGCCAATGAATTGTAGAATACAAATAAGAAATATTGGTACAGTGTCAACTAATTTGTAGATATTTGCTTACTGAATGAGGGTGAAATAAAAAAAATAATAATCTTGTTAATGTGAACATCTCACTGTTCTTATTTCAAGTAAACCATTTTATTTGTATTTTTGTTAGATTCTGAGGAGTTTGAGTGGTTGGTCTGGTGGTATTAAAACTACAGAGTGTTCTATACAGACTGCTTATCTACATTGTATTGAAAGTGCCAAACATTACATTTACATCGAGGTATGTTATGTCTACATTGTATTGAAAGTGCCAAACATTACATTTACATCGAGGTATGTTATGTCTACATTGTATTGAAAATGCCAAACATTACATTTACATCGAGGTATGTGTATGCAGCCTTATTTGTCAAACTGGGTTTATATTGACGTGCTTGTAATATGTTTTACTATATATACACATTAGGGGCCCAGCATTTGTCTTATTTTCAGGTACCAGTTGAAAATTTCAATGGATAAGTAAATAATGCCAGGCACTTGTCTGATCTGTGAAGAAAACTTTCAAAAGTAGAAATTAAATTAAAAGAAATAAAAGTTGCTGTTAGCTTTTCATCGGAAGTTTAAAAATTGACAGCAGTGCATTAATAATTTGATCCTGATTGTCTTGATGAATTTCAATCCTTGTTGTCAAACTTGTTCTGGATTGAAGTTTGTGATTTGCTCATTTCTTTTGATATTGAATAGATACCGATAGTTGCCTAGAACTGATGAAGTTATGGGTTTCAGTGTCAGGTTAAAAACCTGAATCAGGGAATTAATATTTAACACTTTATCAAAATAATTACAAAACAGACTTAATGAGTAGATCACATTATTTCAGATGAAACAAAATTTAAATTGTCAATAAGTCATCTAGCGAAAAACTCTTTGGCAAGTAAAAAGTAAATTCCATTGACATTCGTTCAAATGGACAAGCACAAAAAAGTAAATGTTGAGCCCTGCACCTGTACATTTAAATGTATATATATGTATGTTTCATTTAAACCATTTGTGTTGCAGAATCAATTCTTCATAACTCGAGTTGGAGATAAATCTGTGATTAAAAACAAAATTGGGGATGCCTTGTTCAACAGGATCATCAGAGCTCACAGGTATGCATAAATCAGGCCATTAAGGTACATCAACCCTCTGCTCACTCATATAAAATGTTGCTTTAATTTTTATGATTTTTTGTCAGAAATGTATTTTTAAGTAAAATACTATTATATCATAGCTAGCGGGGCATATTACAAAAAAAGACATTTCACTTGACAAATCTATAAAGGATTAATACATATTTATGTCATTAAGAGTTATCTATCTTATCATAGTCTCAATAAACCTTAAATCAGAGTCAAACAGAAAAAGTATTGAGAAAAAATATTGTGTACAGTGGAGCCTCATTAATCCGGATTCCAATAATCCAGACACCTTCCGGATGAAATTTGTTTGGAACAAAATGATCAGTTATATCTATCAATTATAAAAGATCAGTTTCAGGAATCTGGAGGCTTCATTAATCTGGACGATTTGCTTGGGGAACACAAGCGTACATATGAACAAGACTGTACTGTATCTTTAAATAAATCTGTACAAGTAAGATGTAATACAAGTTTATTTGAAATTTAATGTTTATATGCTGTGTTTTAATTTTCAAGGAATGGAGAAAATTTCCGGGTGTATGTGGTCATGCCATTACTTCCAGCCTTTGAAGGGGACATAGGGGGAAATGGGGGATATACCATTAGAACAGTCACGCATTACACCTACACATCTATCTCTAAAGGACCCTGTTCCCTCTGGGAGAGGCTGTCAAAGGAGGGTGAGACAGGATTGAATTTTAAATCTTTATCAGTTTAAATTTACCACCTTATTCCACAATTATTGAAAAAAATCTTATACATAAATATGGTTTGTGATGGTGTTTAAATTCACTCCATTTATTTCAGTTCTTGATCCTCTGAAGTACATTGTATTTTGTGGATTACGAAATTATGATGAACTGTCCTCTAAACTGGTATGTAAACAGACTATATCGAAGTCACCAAGTTATGATGTCAGTTCATAGAATGATGGACAATGTAATAAGTGGTAGTGCTAAAGTCTTAGCATTTCTTCATAGAGATTCTGTGACAGACTTTTCAATCCAGATAACTTTTTGGTTGTTGAGAGGCATTGTCTAGATAGTCTACATATGCACTGTACAATGTTGCTTGTATACAGAAAGCTTTTCATTTATTCTGAAAGCTTATATGTACATGTATTTACTGTATATTTGAAATTCAATTCATCCAAAAAATGTAGCACTCCAAGGTGTGTTTTGTATATAATACTTTCCAAGATATGTTTTGTATATATTACTTCCCAAAATACATGTTTATTTGGTAGTCCTACGGTACTTAAGAAAAACATCTGTATCATGTAGATATGACAAATTACAGAATGATATAGTGAAGTAAATTAGAAGGTTCTTGGAACTTCACTATAACCATGTTTTACTGTAGTCAATATTTAAATTAGCATTGCCATACTGTGTAAAAGATATGTTTTCTAACATTGAACCTCTTTGTAGGTATCAGAGTTGGTATATGTCCACAGTAAGCTTTTGATCGCTGACGATGATACCGTCATCATTGGTTCTGCTAACATCAATGATCGCAGTCTCCTTGGTGACAGAGACAGTGAGATTGCCGTCATGGTCCAGGATATCCACAAAAAGGAAACAAAGTTCGCAGGCGTTCCTCACCTTGTCGGGAGGTTTGCTACCTCACTCCGGAAATCTCTCTTCAGGTGGATTTGATTTCTGTGAAAATCTTTATAAAAAGATGTCTCCATTCTCATTTACATTCTTTGCTATTGGAAAAGCTTTAAATTATGTTCCTAATTATGCTTGATCTCAGATTGGATTATTTGAATTGTACTATCAATGAATTTGTGTGTGAAGTTAACATTGCTCAGTCTGATTTCTTTGGTCTGACTTGCATTTCTAGTCTCTTTTTTTTTAATTTTCATAGTGAACATATGGGTATCCCTGTAGGGGACCCCGTCCTAGATGATCCGGTCTGTGATTCTTTCTATAAATCCGTGTTCCTCAGACGGGCCACTGTCAATACCAGTGTCTTCCAAAAGGTTTAAATTCATTCAGCTTCTATTTTTAAATTTGGTATTTTTTTTTATCCTGACCAATGTAAAATGTAAAAAATCAAATTATTTCATATGAAACTTTATATCTGAAATCCAAATATGAAGCATCATGTCATGATTTGAAGGTCAGCTAGCTTTTTCAAATTTTTCATTGTTAAAAATAATTGAAAAACCTGTCATAAAGAAAAGAAATTTATGAATAATTATAAAAGTTTTCTGTTTACAGGTGTTCAATTGTATCCCGTCTGATTTGGTTTTGAGCTTTGCTGAGCTGAATCAACTCAGCTCGGAGAAAACTCTAGCTGAGACTGATCCAGAACAGGCCCGTAACGAACTAAAGAAAATCCAAGGTCACATTGTGCTCTTGCCATTACACTTTATGGAACATGAAAGTAGTCTTATACCCTCAGTAGGAAAGGAAATGTTTCTTCCTGTGGATGTTTGGATTTAAAGGCAATTTTTTTTCTCTGCCTTGTTTGTGTGTGAAAATGCTATGGAGTGTACAGCTGAAGTAATATGCAGTGCATATAATGCATCATGCCTTACTACTGCAAATCAAATGTTAGCATGGCAACTAAATACCTGTATTTAGAATTTCTAGTCAAATTTTTATTAATGACCCAGGTGAAGATACAGGTAAACTTAAGTAATCACAATGTCTATATGTCTGTCTGTTTTTCCTCTTATCATTCTGATTTGATCTGATAACTCGGGTACATGTATCTTTCAATTTTTTATCTACTACATGTACATACGTGGAGGATGGTAGAAAAAAAAATCTTCAGTTTTTTAGTTCACTTGGTCAAAGGTCAAATTCAAAAGGTGTATATGGTTGATATGACTTTTACACAATTGTTATTAACTCTAATTTATTTTAGCATATAGACTTTACACAGTCAAACCTCATTATCTTGAATTTGAACTTGATGGGACCAAGAAAAAACTTGGAGATATCCTAGGGTTTGAGACCTTGAGGTTGAAACACAAAGAAAAGGTGGTTGGGACTTCCAACACTTGGACATATCCATGATATTTGAGATATTGATGTTCAAGATGCTGAAATTTGACTGTATTTACTAGCTAAACAAAGGAAAATGCAGTCACTTGTTTAAAAGTCAAGACTAGGATTATTGATATGACCATTGTGTTGCATTAACATAGATATTTTGTAACCTACATATTATTAGTTATTACATAGATTGGATGAATATTTTGGGAAAGACTCATATAGATTTTTGGTGTCTCTTAGTCATAGGTCAAAGTCAGAGGCCAAGATTATTCATAATATGACTTTGTCAGGTTTAACTTTTTTTTTCTAGAAATATGAATTATTTGATATAAGAGAAAAAAATTATTTATCTACATTTTAGAATTTTTGTCATGATGTAGTTCATGTTTGGTTCTTAGTTGTCCTATATTTAGACATATGATTCGGTGACCCCCTGAATCATGTTCTATCTTATCCTGAGTCTTATACAGAGAAATGATATTTTTTAAATACTGTAAATATATGTATTTTTGCAAATTGACTATGCATTATTTATTGTTATGGTTAGATTTCTCAGGTGGTTTGAAAGTTGCATGTATCAAAATATAGATACTACATCTGATGTATACATTTAAATATATTTTGTAATTTTATTATTAAGTAACATGTATTTTAAAGTTTTATGACACACATTAAAATCTTACTGTTATCACTTTAAGCCCAAAAGTTGACCAATGGCTAATGGTTAAAAGTTGTAAAAAAAAAATAATATATCGAAGTCCACATTTCATCCCCAAAACAAATTTAAGATGTGCACTGGCCAAAATCCACAAAATCATTAAAAAAAAATAACTTCAACCTTCAAGAAATCATCAGTTTTGAATTTTCATCATGTTCATTGCATTCAAGTTAAATACAGACCCCCCCCCCCCCCCAACAAACACAAAAGAGCTATACATGTAGTATGTACAGGATGTAAGGACTCGAGGCAACATTCCATTACCATAGATGCTTTTTTATTACATCCTATAATTGTGTTCTTTCAATGTGATATTGCTTTAGACAAAAATATGTATGCATAGAAAGACTTTAACAATAATTTATTCTCTAAACTCCACTATTAAAACTTTTTTTTATCTGAAAAACTATGAATGTTTATAAAAGACCTAATTATTCAGCCTTTGAGTCATTTTGCTTTGAAGCTGTGTTTTTGTCCACTATACACAAGCTACACATGATGTTAAATCCCGGACCTTTTTGATTTTTCAAGGCCACATCAGCAGGGCGGTGTTTTACATTCCTAAAGTACATGTAGCATCTCATATTTCTATATATCACTTATTAGACATAATGTACATATATAACTACGGCTTAGGAGTATTTTCTTACTCTTTTTAAAGAGTCAATGCTAGGGCAATATGGGACCTTTGGGAGTTAATGATAGCCATTAGCTATTGTCGCATTAGTTGTTGGATTTTTTTTTTATCAGAACCACTTAAACTTGCCTAAATTCCAGCCAGTTTGAAGGACAATGTATGAGAAAGGCTAAATTTGGTCCAGCTCACTTTGTTCACATAAAAATCAAAATGCAGAACTGAGGTAGATTTTAGAAACAGTATTTGGTTTTAATTAACAGTGTACACAGAGGGAACAAGAGAATAATAGAACAATTTTGCAAACCTCAATGAATTTAATACAAAATTCATTGCCCTTTCACTGTCCCATTTTAATATAAAGTAATTTTTAGAAATAGACTTGCAAAGTTTCTGATGAAAATAGTCTATGACCACAAATGCATTGATTTGTTTCAGTGCCTGTTATATTTAAGATTGAATAAAATCAGGGTAAGCATGTATATTTGTATGTATATATGTGTAGATAATAAGTCATGTAATTAAGTCATGGTGCAATTTTAAACAGACTATTTATTTTTATACACATGCAGACATATATGGACATTTTCATACCAAGGTATTTTACATGATGTATACATTTTTACTAAAGAACTTCAACTATGTAAATATGATTGTACAGTGAAACTTGTCTAATCTCTAATCCGAACACCAAATTGGCGGGATTAGGCATTATTCCGGATTAGACAACATTTTAAACAATGGAATCTCTTAAAAGGGACTTCAGTTTTTCATTTTATTAAGCAAGATTTCGGAATGCACAATCTAGATTAGACATCCTGTGTCACTGTATAACTCTTAGGGTATTTCTGATGCTAAGCCTTTTCAAAAAACAATCTTGACCTTAAAATTAGGGGCCATTTCATTGTAAGCAGAATGCTTAAAATATGTTTGTTTGCATCTTATTTTTTGCAGATTTTTTAAGCTCTTTACACATTGGTGTAGCAAATTTTGAATGCCAAAGAATTCAATATTGAAATTTTGCACTTATTAAATGATAGTGTACATGTATTTCTTTTATAAATCACCATTATCGAATGACCTGAAAATGAGTTGGATTGCAAGGTTTGATTCTGTTTTTGAATGGTAGTACCATGTACAATGTATCTTTAAGGTATACATGTAGTTCACAAAGTGAATGAATTGATTGACAAGTATAATACATTTTATCATGTTGTACTACACATGCTTTCCCAGTATTTTGTTAAGGATTATGACAACTGTTTAAGGGTGTTCAATCTGGAAATATCTTTTTTCAATACAGAAATAACAAGTGATAGGCGTTCATCATGATATGATGTAAATATCAAGTTTGCTCAACTTTTTCACGTGCCATTCTACAAAGTGACCAAGGAATAAATTCAGGTTCATTCAACATGTATTTAACTTCTGGAAAATAAGACTTAGTAAGACTTGTACATCACTTCATTAAAAACACCAGTTTCTGTATTCTTTGTCTCCGCCAATACCGTATGTAGGAGTATTTATTTAATTTTACTGGAAATTATGTACTTTTCTTTTTAATTGTCTCGTGAAAATGATTTTTGTGTGATTTTTCATCCTTTGTTTTTCCTTGAAATGCTCACATAAAATTAAGAGATAATATATTATACGTGACTGTAAGTGAATTATCAAACATTATCTAAAAGATAATTGAATTATTCCTTACTGTACCATTAGATTACAAAACTATTATGGTATACAATTATCAATGGGGCATTTAGCACCAACAAAAGCCAATCAAATACAGTTAAATTATTTTGACTCGGTAGTTTCATTCATTACAACATATACGTGTATATTGTTTTCTCCTTTAAAATGAAATAGAATGCCACATGAGTTCCCACAACACAGGAAAAGAAATCATGCAAGTTTTGGGGGATTTCTTCGACTTTATGCACGTAAATTATGTAATGGGGAAATATCTTTGGATTTTTTTTTTAACTTTATCTTTTAATTTATTATTAAATTAAATTTTTTCACTTTTCCTACTTTGAGGTTTTTGACTCAATCCAAAACTTTTTGATGTACATGTAAGACAAGAATAGAAATTACCAGACACTGAAATACAATGCCAGACTTTCTTTAAATGTGTCCTCCTGTTGATCTCGTTTTCATATGTTGACAGTACTTTTTATATGAACATATCATTGTTCGTTTATTCAATGCTTGTTATTTTTCTCCTTTAATTCCAGCCGTTTATTGTAGCATGTACATTTTCACTTTTCATTCTTTGGAATTAAGTCAATTAACACACTAACATGTACAGTTTGTGTCTGTGTGAGGTAAATGCAATTATTTCAAATTTCATCACAAAATACTATGTTCCAAGAATATTGGTGATTGCTATATAGTTTTCTCATGATTATGATAAATGGCTTGTATTCATTTGTATTCCATCAGGGCATAAATTTATTGAAAATTTCCATTGATAAATAAATTTACTTATTAAATTTCATCTTTTTTTTCTCTTAGAATTACCAGAGGAGTAATACATTTTGTATCCAGTGGAATTTTTTTTTTCTAAAAGTCATGTCCAGGAAAAATCATCTCTAACTGGAAGAGTTTGAAACTTGTGTATATAAGGTCAACATTTGTTATAAAGAAAGAAATTGAGATTAAACTTGCTAAAAAGTTGCTTCAATTTGATCCGAGTTGTGACCTTGACCAAATGTAATTGGACAAGGTCATTACCACAAAGTATAAAATTTACTTTTTGGCCTTACACAAAATTTGCTCATTGTCTTATGGATTTTGTTGGTACGTGGGAAGAGCAGAATAACTTTCGTTGGGATTTTCACCTACCAAAAGTACCAGCCAACACACAAGTCACAAGCAATGTACGTTTAAGTGATGAACCATTTTGTGGCCTAATCCATGTTTGTATGTTCACACAGCCCAGTGGTAACCAATCTAATTAAAATTAGATGTTCCGAATCCGCTACCACTTCACATTTGAGAAGCGGTAGCGGATTCGGAACATCTAATTTTAATTAGATTGAGTGGTAACGCACTTAATTGCTTCTCATATGCCAATTTTATCCCCAGAAAACACATATAAGAGTTAGGTATGGTAGTGAACAGCTTGGATTTGCTAGATTCTTTCAAATAATTCTCACAAATGACCCCATTTTGCTTGCATCTGTGTTATAAGAGTAACATGGGACCCCACTGCATGACTTACTGTAGCAGGTTTATTTATTCTGGGCTCTGAGAAGTGTCACTGTCCTTAAGCTCAAATTCAGGACATTTTAAGCTCGCTCGACGAAGTCGAGATGAGTTTATGCTATACCTCCAGCTCAGGCATTGGCATCAAAGTCCCGTTTTAAGTTTTAGGAGTGAGTCCATTCCCAAGTAACTATAAGCCCTACCTGGACCAAAAGTTTTGTCCAAGTAGGGCTTATTGTTACTTGGGAATGTTTTTGACAGCAGGTCCATTCCCATGCAACAGTAAGCCCTACCTGAACCAAACTTGCATGGATGATGCATCTAGGGACAAACACTACCCAACCTGCTTAGGATGCTGGATTTGACCTAAATTTTCCAGATGAGTGAATTTTAGCCATTCTTGAACTGAACTAGCATGGATGATGTGTCTACGGAATCTGACCTACATTTTCCAGATGAGTTACTAGGGAAACGTTTTTGGAGTAGCTCTATAATTATACAACTTATGATTAAACTTGCATGGAAGATGCATCTAAGGATGGAACCTTCAAGACTTGCTCTGGATGTTGGAACTGACTATCATTTTCTTGACTAGTGAACAGGTCAAAGTTTTTTAAGCAGGTCCATTTCAAAGTAGGTATAAGTTCTACTAAATGATACTTGCATGGATATTGATCTTAGGATGCACACCAACTAGGAAAAAAGTGAGATTTGCCTTACTTATAGATAACATTCATCTAGGTGAGCTTTGCAAACTTTGATTACCTATATTTTTAGTTTACTTTGAAGCTACTCTCAGAGGATAGCCTTTAAGACTAACAGGATGGCCAACAAGATTTCTACTTTTCTTTGTTAAACTATGACACCTGTTTCAACTGAAAAAAGGGGTTTTTTAAGCTGAAATTCATAAAGCAAAATTTACTCCCATGGATTATAAATTTTATTTCAGTAACAAACAAAACTTTGAAACTTCAGTAATGCCCAATAAATATAATTAAAAATAACTGCATAGTAATTACAAATTGTATTTACACAATGAAAATTTTTAACAATACATGTAATTTGAAAGTTCTGTGGAGAAAATTAAAGCTACAGTTTGGTCACTATTACCACAGATAGAATTTCCAATTATATAAAATATGATTTGGATAGATTACTACATCTTTAAATTACTATTAATGTGAAAAAATACATTTTTTCTTTTACATTTTCAACTCACAATTTCCGTATTAAAAATGTATCACATTTCAACTTCAGCATTCACCAGGATGACTTTTTTTCTTTTTATAGCTACATGTACGTAAACTGAGGTAAATAGTTGCAAGTTAAAATTAAATACGTCATAAATATATAAAATTCTCTATATTCAAAACCCTGTCTGAAATGTCAAGATATAGCAAGGGTGGTTGTGCAAGCTTATTCACTTAAAACCCGTGAGAGGATCCATAGGGAGGGAAAAAAATCACCATTTACCCAGAATGTCCTTCCAGAAATGGACAAGAAATACCTATAAGCATATAATCATTAATTCAGCCAGCTCAATCAGAAACAGTTTGTCTATCAACTTGATGATTCCAAAGCTTCAGGGTCCCCAATCTCCATGGACATCTCTTGTGAGTTTTCTGAGTGTGTGTTTTCAGCAAAGACTGATTCTGTAATTTGATTACTAGTGTTTTCATCAGAACCTGCAGAAAGAGTGCTTGAGAACTCGGCTATGACAGAGGTCTCCATGATCTGGTGTGCTGCGGCATCATCTACTTTATCACCTTCTGCTTTGTTGACCACCTCTTGATCAATGGAGGTGAAGGTTCCTTGGTGTGCAACAATGGGATCACTTTGTTGAATCCCCAGAATCTCGGAGGTTATGATTCCCTCTGATGTCATAGACTGACTCGATGGAGTGTGTCCTGAGCCTATTATATTACTTGACTCTACATGCATGAATGCCTCCTCAATTGTTGTCATGCCTTGGTCCCTGTCTGTCAAGTCTCCAGCATTGGTTTCTGGTTCCGTGCAAGTCTCTGTGATTTGCACAGGGATTTCTGTTGCATTTTCCATAGATTCAGCTTTAGTTTCTGGAAACTCTACCTGGTTCGGAACCTTAAGTTCATCCACTGATTTATGTAATTGGGAAACGTCCATTTGGATATCACTTGACTGAGTAATTACTACAGGTACTTTTGAAGAATCGCTTTGGGGATTGAGTATTTGGTTCTCTGTTGGACTTTCTTTTACAAGGGAAACTTCTAAATGGCCATTTCCGATATCAGACATTGTAACATGACTTGCACCATTAGTCACCTCAGATAAGCCCATACCTCCCTGTGTAATATCTGTCTGTACAATATCCACTTGACTAGAGCCTGGGTTTTCTTCTGAGCTTATCTCCACTTTATACATTTCTCCATTAATTTCTACAAAGTCTCCAGTGGACAGATTCATCAACTGGTCATGGGTCAGGTGATACCCTGATTCTTTATCGACATCCTTTTCTTCCACAAATTCCCCTGGGTTTTCCATTGTGATAACCTCTGTTTCCATATTGTCTGGCTTCTGTGGGTCCAAATTAAAGTGAGCTATTCCTGGCTGGCCCGCTAGAGCCTGTAGTCCCTCAATGGCCTCTGCTGCCTCATGCTCTTTCACCACTGTAGCGATTCTTGGTTTCATTGTACTTTCTTTGAGTAATCGAGTGTTTGGTTTAGGATGGGACACAGCATACGCCAGATCCTCTATGCTGATTACACTCTGTGTTGTACTAGAGTTGTCGGTTACTATTTGTAATTCTGACGATTCTTCTGTTTCTGTGGTGACGATGTCTCCGACTGTTAACATATTATTTACAGTATCCTCACTTGCTGGAAGGCTTTCTGTCACAAAACAACTTGTTGACCCATCATCACGGATGACAATTTCAATATTGTGTTTCTTTTTCATGTGTTGAAAGAGATTGCGTCTTCTTGGGTTCATGTATCGACAGAGAACACAGGAATACACATGGGAAGGAGGGACTTGGTCTATGAGGTTGTGTTTACGCATATGGACCAGAAGATTTTTCTTGCTGGAGGTTCTGAAGTCACATACAACACACAGAAACTCTTCAGAATCCTGAGGTAGGACCTCCTTATGCTGCCCATGCAAATGTTTGTAAAGATTAATTAATTTGGAAAACTTCATGGAGCAATGATTGCAGGCAAAGATCTTCTCTTGACTGCTGTAATCAGATTTTTCTTGCTGTTTATCAACAGAGGAACTGTCTTTGGAATCAGAATCCTCCACATCAAGACCTTTCTTTGATGATCTCCTCTCAACTGATATTTGGTGCTGGGTCTTCATATGACGTAACACGTGCTCCTTCTGTGAACCGCGATAATCACAAAGTCCACACTGATAAGGACGTTCATGAGAGTGAATCAGAACGTGTCTCCTCAGTCGACTCTCGCAGTCCGTCACAAAGCTACACTGCTCACAGAACAGCTTCAGCTCCGGTCCTGACTTATGGAACTTCATGTGCTGCCGCATATCTCTCTTGCTGTAGGTCATTAATCCACACTCGGCACATGTGTAGCTCTTTGCTTCCTTAGCTTCATCGTCTTCTACGGGAATGTGACGTCTCTTGATGTGGACTTTCAGGTCGGGATTCTCGTTGGCACATACATAGTCACACAGGGGACATTTTACTGCCTTTTCCTATTTAAAAGATAATTATGGAACTTTTTAAAAACAAAATTAAAATTCGAAATTATGTTATTTTTACAAAACTCTGAGTATTCCTGAAACAATCTTAAATTAGCAAAGTTTTTAAATATTTTTGAGAGTATTCAAACTTTCCTGAAAGTTTGAATATTTTCATTATGTCAAGTTTTGACTTGAAAATTTAAAGTCTTTTCAAAGACTTTCAAAAACAAGTAAACCAAATGCAATCAACAGTTTAGTTTTTTTTTTAATTTGCTATTCTTTCAGTTTCACAGTTGTATGATCCTGTCATATATACAGTCTGTAAAACTGCATGAACCATAATGAGGAATATAAGCCATCACTTTTACCTCGTGTTTGTATTTAATGTGCCGCTCCAGATGGATTTTCTGTCGGAATGTCTGACCGCACTGGTTACACTGGTGTTCTCGGACGTCCAGATGAATGTTCTGGTGGCGCTTTAGGTTACTACTCGTGGCTGCCACATAGTTACATAACTCACACTTGTGGGTCTTACGACCTAAAACAATATGAACAAACAAATCAGAAAATCATATCCCATAATGAACTTCAGAGAATTTTTTTTCTTCTAAAAAGTGTGCCCAGAAACATTGCTACTTACATGTCTGTACTCATTGCTTCTTGGAGAATTAAGCATTGTTTAAATTATGAATGCTGTTCATTTGCTTATGTTTGCCCTTTTTCTACATGCAGTCTAATATTTCTAGCTACCAACATGATTAAATACTTACCTATGTGTTTTTTGCGGTGTTTGTACCAGTTACTTTTTCGGCTGGTTTTGTAGTTACATACTCCACATACAAATTCCCCCTCCTCATTCATCTCATACGCAACATCATCTTGTTTCTGGTAAATAAAATTAAGAACAATCACCATCATAAATATAAACTTATTTTTGAAGATTCAAAGAAATTTTTTCCTGAATTTTTTTTAATTTCCCAATTACATAGAAGATGTATAAGAAGACACTGGAATGTTTGCCTTTCCAAAAAGTGTTAATGAATCTCCCTTATTCAAAGCTTATGACAGTATTACAGTTTGAACTTTCTGATAAGAAAGCAACTTCTACACTTGCTTAGCTAGTACAATGTCCAAGGACCTTACAAATAGGGAAAAATTTCAGAGAAATGCTTACACAAAAGGTTTTGCAACAATGAAATGAAATATCTGTTGCAATACTGTATAAACATGATAAAAGTGACTATTACCTTTCTTTTAAAGGGAAGTTTCTCCTTTAATTCCTGCCCCTCTGGGAGAGAAACAAGAATAATCTCTTGGTTATCCACCTGGCCAGACTTGTATACAGCATTCCATGCCTCCTGAGTTTTCTGGACGGCTTCAAAAGACACGTCCTCTGTAATCATCTCCCCATCAAGGGAGATAACTGCTGGTTTAAACTTATCCAGTGCTCCTGTAGGCACTCCTTTCAGAATTTTTAGACCAGTGGCCCCAGAAGGCAGAGTGATCCTCTTGACATTTGAAGAACTAGTGGAAGAAGCCTGTTTGGATATGGATGTTTTGGGAATGGTTCGGAAGGTGAATGATGCTTTGTCAGCTGACGTGACACTGACTGACCTCCCATCTGGCATAGAGATGACAGTAGAACTCTTTTGTATCTCTGTAGATGATTCACCTGAATGCAGACTAGATTCTGATTGGTCTTCATTCTCGCTGAGGTCATCTGCTTGAACTGACATATCAAACATCTGCACTTTCTTTGCTTTCGAGTTTAAAACCTGTACAGTCACTGTTCCTTGGGACTTTTTTGTGCCTTCTTCTGAATTCTGGAGAATATTTGGGTTACCTGCATTCTTTTCTTTCGGGGTTTCAATCCCAGTCATTTGGTTTTCAGCATCTTCCATCTCCTCTGTATCCTGCCTACAAATCCTCCCTGGCCTTTCTCTGGAGATTGCACCCCTCCCAATTTTATAATCATCCACAGATGTTTGTTCCTCCCCTGATATTCCAGCAATATTTACTTCTTCAGTCACTCCCTGTATTTCTATACACATGTCTGAGGAACCCTCAATGATAGCTTCAGTTGAAATTTCACTATTTTCAGCCTCCTGTTGATTGTGTTTGAGACTACCGAGTTGTGAGCTGACATTTGTCACTGTGTTTGCTGTTCTGTCAATGTACACAACAGACATTTCTGTAACTTCTAAATCTGGGGGACTCTCATTTTTGCTTGTTCCTTTACTCAGATTTTGTTGTATTTGTTTCTCTGTTGATTTTTCTGTAATACCTATATTTCCAACCAAAAAAAAGTCAGCATTACAATAATCTTTATTTTATTGTTGTTTTTTTACAACATTTAAAAAATTATGTTCATGATCCATTACAATCAAATATTATCTAAACAAACTTTTGTAAATGTATTACGTTTTACAAAAATATTAAGAGCTACCTGAAAACAATACACAACAAAATATTGACCTCCACAGTCATTAAAGTAATGAGAAAAGTCAATACAAATGATGTATATCAATTTACATTTTTTTTTTTAGTTTTCTATGATTAGTTCTTACTTTCTGCACAGTTTTCCTGTGGAGTCAAGTCAGCTGTTTGGGACAATGTTTGTGATGTAACAACAGAGTCTTTGCAGTGCTCTGTATTTTTTCTCTCTTCCAAGAAATAGCTGGTATCTCTTTCAGTTGACACCATTCCATTTACATCAGTCACACTATTATCCTGGTTATCAGATACTGTCTGTTCTGTTGTGGCCAGCTCCACTGTTTCACGACCCCAATTCTTTGTGCCACAATCATCTGTTCCAGGTGAAGGGTTAGAATATGTGGTTTGCTCTGTTTGATCAGTTGTGCTACTGGACTCCTCCTCCCCCTCTCTTTCATCAGCTGAGTTTTCTGTGTGCTCTGTTGTATCTAACGCATCACCACACTGATCCTCCCCCTCCTTTTCTTTTTCATCAGCTGAGTTTTCTGTCTGCTCTGTTGTATCTAACACTACACCAGACTCATCCATCTCCCACTTTATCACCTCCATCTTGTCTTGGTGAAGAGTGGGCTTTGCTTCGCTAAAATTGAAACAAGTGTTATACATGTACTATGCACTGAAAATACAAATAGGCATTGCTGGTTTATGAAAACACTTTAAATCTATTTGCAAGATGTACATTAGTTGAAGATTCTAATTCTTACAAGTCTGTGTATGTCCAATGTTGAACAAATGTCAAATAACTCATGATGAACAAATGATTTTCAAATTAAGAAGAAATTAACATTCTAATAAATTTTATTGGTAAATACATGGTTGCAACTACTCACAACTTTTGCATCTTCTGAGGCCTAGCAGAGGATTTCTTTGTTCTTGTTTCTGCTTGTGAAAAAAAAATTCAAATTATTTTCTAATTGTGTATGGAGTAAAATTATCTAGCATGATTGCATCAAATGGACATAGGCTCTATTGTTTATATAAAACTGTGGTTTATGACCTTGAATGGACTTTTAAAGTCATCATCAAAACGAGATGAGAATTTCTGATATAGATTGTAAGAAGTTCTGAACATTTGTGTGAAAGCACATGTATATAACTCCAGCCACATCTCACACCAAATCTTCTCATAGTGTGATCTGTTGTTAACCTTTTGTGCCCTAACTCATGCAGGCATCTCTTTTTTAGACATAGTGACATACCTTATTTTTTTATGTAGGACCTTACCTTGTTCCTTTTCCTTGCTGCCAGATTTGTCCCTGGAACCTATGATGCTCTTCTCCAAATTAGACACTGTGTATAAAAGTCAATATACATGTATATATACATATATGTACAATGTAAAACTATATACATATACATGTTTGTACAATGTAAAAACTACTTGTAATTACCAGTAAAACATTTTCTAGTTGTACCAAATAATTTAACTCTTGAAAAACATCATTCCATCAATATGTTTATAAGATACAATTAAAAATCTGCACTTCTGAAAGGTCTATATAACTAAAGTGTAATAATTGGGACTGAAAAAAATGTGTTAAGAAAAAAATATCTAACTCCAAATATTTGGTTACTTACATTTCGGAATCTTTTCGGATGGATCGATGAAGTTTTTATAGTAGATTGTGTTAGGTATGGATGCCCTTTTACTTCTTCTTCTTCCTCCCATGTCCTCATCAGCTCCTTCACCTTCATCTTGGTTTGGTGTCTTTGAAGGCACTTCCTCTACAACATACTCAAAGAACTTAAGCTTCTTTCTCTTCGCAGGCGGATTCTTTGTCTCTGTTTTTACTTCTAGACTCTGCTTTCTTTTCCTGTGACCTTCACCTTTATCTTCACTTCGATCCTCATCTGACATACCAATGCCGCATTCTTGTGAGAGTTTCTGCTTTTTCTTCTCACAATTTTTATAATCCTCTTTTAAAGGAGAGCTCTTCTCATATGATTCATCTAAGGTGTCACTTGATTTTGTGGAACTACTACCCTTCCTGTGGGACAATGAGGTTTTAATTTTCCTGTCTTTCTCTAGTCCCTGCTCTACTTCTGAGGTTTTCCCTTCTTTTTCTGCCTTTTTCTGATTTCTCTGGGACAATCTAGCTGCAGCTGATGATCTTATTTCAGCTCTGCTTAGCTTGGTGGAAGTTTTGAAATCCTTCAACCTGGAAGATGCACAAACTACAGAAGATTTAGAAGACCTAGTTTCTCTTTTACTTTCTGGGGATTTAGGCTGTTCAGAATCTTTCTCTTTCACTGCTGATGCAGTTCTTGGTGACCCCCTCAGTATTGGCATATTGGAAAAGCAAGCACAAACTGAAAATAGTAAAACACAACTTACTGACAGGTAACCATGGTAACTGAAAAGAAAAAATTATATAATATGAAAAGAATAATCTGTATTATAAATCAGTATATGAGGTCATCTTAGTGTATACTAGTATATGAAGTTATAATAATGTGTCAAGAGTTTTAAGAACTTTACAATACTAGTAGACTTTCCACTTTCTTTAAATTTCATTTATTTTTCATATTTAACTCTCTAGAGCTAAATTTCGTAAAAAAGAAACCAGAAAAGACTTAAAGAGTTTGCAAAAATGATTTACCAAAAAAAAAAAAATAATTAAGTTACCTTTACCTTTGACAAAATATACAAGGTCAAAGGTCAAGGATCACATTGCAGATGGTCCCATCTTTACATGACTATTCGTTAAGCGTTTGCAAAAATGATTTACCCCCCAAAAAATAATAAAGTGACCTTTACCTTTGACAAAATATACAAGATCAAAGGTCAAGGATCACATTGCAGATGGCCCTGTTTTTACATGACAATACGTTTAAAAGTTATAGGGTTTAACAATAAGCACAAAGACATAAAAGGGCAATAACTCACATAAGTTGTCATGAGATCATTTCGCAGAGAATAGATTGAAGTTTTGTCTTGAAAAACTAAAGACATTAGTGAAGATCTGTGTCTCTACGGTTTACGGTTTCAGAGGAGTATAACAAGATTTATAGTGAAAGGGGCAATAACTTTTAAATGGGTTATTCTTAGGGGACATGAAGGAAATCTTTAAATTACTTTCAAAAGGACTTACTAAAGATGCAAAGATATGTTATCTATATTAAAAGACAAAATTAAGAGATATAAAAAGAGATTAATTTCTCATATCTTGAACAACCTTGACCTTTGACCTTGATATAGATTTCATGGTCAAAGGCTGAAGACTCCAATGCAGTTGGTCCCATTTATCTATAATAAATGGGTTTTTTTTTTTAAATTATTAATTATTAACATGATTAAAAACTTTCAAGGGCAATAACTCATAAAAGGGGTCAATGAATCCTTTCACAATGAATAGATTGAATGGTCTCCTCAGTTAGTGGAAGACATTGGTGAAGGTTTCGTATCTCTACAGTTTATGGTTTCAAAAGAGTAGCAATAACAAGGTTTCTTGTACAAAGGGCAAGAACTCTGAAAGGGGTCATAGTTCAGAGTCATTGTGTCAAATCTTTTAATTTCTAGAAACCTTTTCGATGAACAAAAAATCTTTTCGATATACCTCAAAACAAAAAAATCTGTGGAAGAAAAATAATAATAAACTGAACAATCTCTTTAGGTCTTTCCACAGAAAGGTGGAAAGACCTACCGGGTAATTAAGCTTTGATTGGTTACTGAAGCATGCAGAAAATCAGGGGTTGATAATGATAGTGAAAGATTACTGTACAGCAGGAAATTAACTTGCGGAGTTAATATTCGCTATATTCGCGGAAATAAAAATTCCACAAATTTCACATACAGTGAATAATTCTTCAAAAATTTATAAGGATAAATTGAAATTTTACCGATAACTGTGATAAGATTTGTTAACTCTGTGTTGCCTTGCAAACATAAAAGCAGTAATAAATATAGCGGAGATGTAGACTGTCTTCCTAATTATGCGGGTTTACGCATCAATCACTAACACATAGTTGTTGGTGTTTTCAAAGCTTAATTGATAAATAAACATCTATAACTAACATTTAATTCTGCCACCGAGTAGAGGTGCGATGCAATTACATGTACCTATAAAACATGTATTGTTAGATTTCACCTGTGCCTATCACTAAGTCTTATTATCTTTAATCAAGCACTTATGTAGTAAAGAAAACACTGTTACACATTAATTCAATTCTATTAACAGTTCAACATTTTGACTATCAATACGGACAACTGATTTAGATTCAGGGGGATTAAATATACTGCAGTAAATACTACTCTGTATTCTACTCAATACTAACTTGCAGTGCTGAAAAAAGTTTTTTGTATCATTTTTCCTTTCCGCGAATTCAAACGACCGTGATTTGCTGCAAACTTAACAAATCGCAATCTTTTCAAACTGCGATTTTAACCTGCTGTACAGTATATCTTTCATTCTGTTCCACAAAATTTATCTGTTTAATGACAATACAGCTGTAACACATTTCTAGTATGTGAATGCCACGAAAAAAATAATAAGGACTGTATTATTATGTATATCTCATATGATATTGCTAAAGATTACTCATTGTCAAGTAATTAAAGAAAAAAGCCTATACCCCTCTTAAATGAATGAAAGGATTTTTTAAATTTGTCTAAAAGTTTCCCTGTGTGTACCGAAAATGTTCTATATTGATAAAAAAATGAACATCTCCCAATTTTAATGCCAACCCATATGGCATGTGACAATGGTAACAGATTGGGATTTTAACCATGTGAGGTCCATGGAACAGTCCTAAATGCTGACTACAATGGTACATGCAGATCTCTTGCTGCAGTTAGGAAGGACTCAGTATTAATGTTGAAAGTCAATTTGTTATGCCACAGTAATTGAAGATTCCGGGGCATATAGCTTTTGCTCTGTCCATCTGTTTGTCTGTCTGTTTGTCCATTTGTCTGCAACAATAACTTTAAACTTAGCTATAATTAACTTTTGATTGGATGGAGCTAGGGCTTTCATATTTCACATGTGCTTTCCTTGTGGCCATACCCTCCCTTGCATACCAACATTTTTTACCTTGACCTTGGAGTTTGACTTACTTTAAAAAAAATTGACCTTTGCCATAAACTTTTGAATAGTTGGTACAAGAGTTATCATATTTCACATGTGTATTCCTATGAAAAACACATTCCCTTGGATATTAACTTTTGTTACCTTGACTTTGGAGTCTCCTACTTCTGAAAAACTTTGACCTTGGAAATAACTTTTGAACAGTTGGTGACAGGCTCAATTTCACATGCATGTATTCCTTTTGAGAAGACCTTTCCTTGGGTACCAACAATTTTGACCTTGAAGTTTGACTACTTCTGTAAAGCTTTAACCTGGCCAAAATTTTTGAATGGATGATGATAGGGCTTTCATATTTCTATGACAAGAATTTTCCTTAAGTACCAATATTTTTGACCACATGACCTTGACTTTGACTTGCATAATTTGAGAAACTTAAACCCTTGCCCATGACATGCATGAGCCTTATATATTTGGGCATCAGTGTTGCAAAAACACATCTTATTTAATATGGTGTCCATCTAAGAGTCTGACTTTAAAACCTGCTCTGATCATGCTGAAAAATCAAATTTCCTGCTTAGCCTAATAATTTGAAGGCCATGCTGACATTTGGAATGCTCTGAATTTTTGGTAGTATAAGCATAGGTTAGAATTATCTACCCTTGTTTTTGCTACTTTGCCAAAACAGAACAAATTCTTTTAAACACAGTAGGACAAAATCATTTTAATGATGGAATGTTCCATCTCCTAACACAGTAACACTAGACAATATTTTTTTTCTACAGGGTTATGTTTATGTTCAGGCATTTTTGTTCAATGACTGTCATATAGCTCAGACTGCTCAGTACTTGTAGCAACCTAACAAAGTTTAAATGGCTCACTCTAGATTGGTACCAGTGGCATTGCCAATCCATGGTACTAGTATTCGATATCTTACTCCCTAACCATGCTAACTGGAAGATGCTATATGAAGTGGTCACCCATCCAAGGGCTATACAGGTTCATTGTTGCTTAACTTGCTTGAAATCGAGGGAGACTCTACCGCATCACCAGAAAAGCTAACTCACTAGCGAGGCAGTATAAGTTTCCTATATTTTGTCTGCTACACTACATGATGTAACATGAACCGGTCACCCATCCAAGGGCTGTAGAGGCTCATCCTTGCTTAACTTGCTTGAAAGCTAGGGAGACTCTACCGTATCACCAGAAAAGCTAGCTCACTAGCAATGCAGTACAAGTTCCTTATATATTGTCCGCTACACACACCCCCCACCCACACCCCCGCTCAGGGAAACTACAACCTGAAGCTTAAATTAGCATGGGTTTTCTCCAAGTGTCTGAGGCCTCTTCAGTAAAGGTAACAAATGCCATCTAGAGACACTAAATTTGTACATGGACACAAAGTCTTACCCCCAGAGCTTCCTGAAATCATACCTGTCAACATGGCCAAAACTTTTTGGGGGAGAAAACGCGTGACGACCTTATGCAAATACAAAAAGTCACACATTTCACTGTATTATAAAACAAAAATAAACAACTTACAAGATAAAACTTTTTTATTAATATTATTATTATAATTTATTCATAAAATTTACTTTCATTCATACATTGTTTAGAAACTTGTACAATGTGATTTTTGAAATTATAAAAATACATTTTCTTCAATGTATATTCTGCCTGTCCATAAGAGTGTCTTTTGAATAATATTCATGGCAAATGTCAAAGTTTAACTTAGCAATTAGAAAAATTAATAAGGTTCTGCAGACAGTCTGAGCTTCCAGCTTTTAATAGATGGATGAATGGATTTTTCTCACTAAGTCTATTTAGGAGCAAGAGTTGTGTCCTGGATTTAAAGATCTGAAATTGAAATCATTGTCAAAACTTAATTCTTATATTCTTTAAAATAATGTGTAATCTAGTATGAATGAAATACATGGATTCTCAGACCCTGTGTTTTTTCTTTTAATCTCATAACATATATCAGAATTTTTAAATCTAATGCTTTATTGTAGTAATGTTCTAATATGCTAATTCTATATTTTAATTTAGAAATTTATTACCTTGTTTAGCAATGTAAATTCAAAGAAGTCTTCTAAAGGCACTGTCATGCTGCTCTGTAGTTTCAGGAGCTTTTATATGCTGATGTTGATGCAGGATTTACTAAGACATTGAATCTCAAAATCTGTGGGGAACTCTTCAGACTCTTCATTATTAGCTTCCATGAAATTGTTCCCCTCTCGTCGTTAAATTAATAATAGAGTACTGTAGTTATATCTTTCCTGATCACTGTATTGTTTATGGAGGAATTGTTTTGTCTTGGGTACTTGTAAACTTATTTGCAGCAAAGTATCAAGTACATCCATATCGTTATTTACCGTCATTTTTTGCAAAATTTTTACATCTGGCGTATCTGTCTTTGATATTATACACTTTTAATGAGAATAAGGAGCAATTACAACTGCAATTACATCTGGTAGCACAGTTGACACCTTGTTGATTACCTGTTATCAGTGGCAATAAACAGATTAGCTACCGATAAACACTGCATGACCTCCATTTTTGTGTTGACATGTCAGTATTTTACGAACCCAAGTAGGTAAAAAATCCGGATTTCTTCAAAATCGGTAGAAACGTCAGTTTAAAAAAAATTCGGTAGACAATCGGTAGTGATGGTTAAAAATCGGTAGACTCCCGAAAAATTCGGGAGAGTTGACAGGTATGTGAAATAGGTCTGGGACCTCTTCAGTTACGGCAACCTCTGCCGTCCACAGACACCAACTATGTAAATAGACACCAAGTCCTAACTCCAAGACTTCCTAAAGCTGATCACCAAACACCAGAGTTACTACACTGCCACCAATTTTGTAATCTGAGGCGATCACCCATCCAAGGGCTATACAGACTCGCTGTTGCTTAACAGGTCCAGTCCAAAGACTATTTCTACCTAGCTATTAATAGCTACGTAGGTATTTAAACCTACCCAAAGTAGCTATTTTTACCTACGTTTTGCCAATCTCCTATGCAGAGTTGTCGTTCGTTCCTCTCTCAGACACCTCTGCAATGGGCTCGTGTCAAGATTTTTGACATAACGTTAAAAACATTACATTTCAAGGATTATTTCAAATTAAACTAATAGATTTAGATCTAATTAGTAAATATCTATCCTTAAGGACCATCATTAGCTCAGACATTAATTATAATGAATTAAAACAAACGCACTATTTCTCGTGCTTATCACTGTGATATACACGAGCCAACGACAGAGGTGAATGTATGAGCCGATGGTAGAGAGTGATGTTTTGCATAACTTGCATTTTGTGGCCAAGCGGCCAAATGGCGCAACATGGTGAGTACCAAATTTCTAGCTACAGTCACACTGATGATGAATAAAACAAAATTTTGACCAAAAAATGATTATTTCATAAATCAACAATTTTGCATATAGTAATTAATGCAAAATTGTTAATTTACGATGTAATCATTTTTGGCCAAAATTGTTGTACTCATCATCAGTGTGACTGTAGCTAGATATTCGGTACTCACAATGTTGCGCCGTTCAGCCGTTTGGCCACAAAATGCAAATTATGCAAAACGTAGGTAAAAATAGCTACTTTGGGTAGGTTTAAATACCTACGTAGCTATTAATAGCTACATAGGTAGAAATAGTCTTTGTACTGGACCTGCTTAACTTGCTTGAAATCGAGGGAGACTCTACATTACCAGAAAAGCTAACTCACTAGCAACAAGTTTCCTATAAACTGTCTGCAATACTGAACTATGCTTTAGACTATATGAATTTATGTGGGTCACTTTAGTCATTGTACTTTCCTATGAAATTAAAATATGATGTGGACTGTTAAACTGATAAACTTGCATGGTCGTAACTAGTCATCATATTTTATTTTTATTATATATGATTAAGACATCCAGTGTCATTGATGGATTCCTCCGGGTTATGGAGTCGATTATTAACCAAGAAAATTACTTAAAGCAGAACTATGAGTATAATTACTCAAACGAAATTCTCAAGAAACTTGCAACTTGCATTTGCAAACTTTACAATCCCGAAGAAATCTTTTGTGCGAGAAGGAAGAAATTACCAAAATGGCCACCGATTGCACCTCCTTGTCAGAAGATTCCATGCAGACGCTTTTAGCAAGCTGTGTGGTTCATTTGTACTTTTACCATGATTATAAAGAAAATGAAGGGAACCAAACCAAGGGAAAATATTCCTACCTTTTCAAAAGGTTTAGACAAATCGTAAAATTGCTTTACTTCATCCGGGGCGTCATAACCCAAACGCAACCAGAATTTTTACGGGCTTCGAAGATGGTGCCCTCTTATTGGATAAAATTTATTTTCCAGCATTTATGGAAAGTATATGATACAAAGATCTATTTATTTTTAGTATGTTAAAAGATTTGAGAATAATTTTAAAAAGCAATATTGTGCAGATATTAACTTTTGATTTTTTTCTACATAAATAGAAGACCCGTACAGGTACCGTGGCTATTTGTCGCCCAGATAAATTTAAAGCGGCATGTTTTGGGGCGGTTTTGTTGTAAACGAGGATCTATATGCCTATAATATATTTAATAAAATATTAGGTGGCGCCGTTTTGAAATAATCTTAATATAAAAAATTAAAATAAGAAAATATCAATTAATGAATTAAATAATTAATAAAATACAATAAAATAAATAGCTAGATTAAGGTAGTGTACAAAAGACTCGTGAAATCTATTTTAACTCATTTCTTACAAAGTACTTGAGACAAAAGAATAATATCACTATATTGTCAATAATCAATGACCTTTGTAAGAAAATAATAAGCTGTGACATGCTTTCGCCGTATTTTGTTAAAAATTAGAGACATCCTTTATATTGCATGGTCACTTGGGAGCCTACACTTTACTTTGAATACCGATCAAAGCTTTTGAAAACACTGGTTTTAATCAAATGCAAGCAAAAATGAATGTGAGGAAAATTTTGGCCTATCTATTGTGTACTACCTTAAATATATCTATTGATGTAAAGAATTTGAATTGTTGATATCAGAAAATATTTTCTAAAGTCAAAGAACATTTCCTAATACCAGAAATTGATTTTTGATATCAACAAATCAAATTCTTAATTGGATAATATTAGGAATTAGCACAGATTTTGTAATATCAAGTATTTTGAATTCTTGATGTAAAATCTTATTATTTGACGTTAGAAATATACATGTATATTTATATATAATTAGGGATGTCAACGAGTACCCGGTTAACCGGATACTCGATCGAACATTCGAGTATCGAATGCTAAAATCGGTACTCGGTTATTCGGATGCATTTTTTTTTTTTCATATTTCAAAGTGTCTATCATATCTAACATATCTATTAGAATATAGGTCGCTGCTTTTGATTATAGTGCTTCTTTCGATGTTTCTCCAATGCATCTCTCAGACTTGTTTATTCAAACTTAATCCCAGTTAATGACAGAATAATAGAGTAAAACCATTTTGCGTTGTATAAACTATATAATGCAAAGAATTAAGGAAATGAAATACTGATGCATATTTTTCACTAATGCATTAACCATTCTAATTAACTAGTCGTTTAAAATCTTCAATTTTCAAATAAGTCTTCTGTAAAAAAACAAAAAACAAACAAACAAACAAACAAAACAAAAAACAAAAAAAAATTACAAGCCCTCTTAAACTATATTAAAAAAACATACAAAAAAAAAAAACAAACAAACAAACAAACAAAGAAAAAAAACCCGAGAGATTCGGAACATCTAAAGATTTATAATTGTACCCGTGCATACTTTTTTTCCTTCTTTTTGTCCCTTTCCTGTTCTTGAACTGCACGATGAAAAGATGCAACCGTCGTGCGTCCTACTTGACTGTGCATTTTTACTTGAAGCAAATTGTTTGTAAGATATAAATTATAATACTACTGGCCTCTTTCTTTCTCTCAGTATGTGTGCAGTCAGTGCATGGTCTCTCTCTCTCTCTAAATGTTCCCGCTCTTGAACTCTACTATAAACTGATCAGCTGCTGATAAAAAGATGCAGTCGTAGACTTGCAGTATTTGACACTGTTTACTAGAAGCAAATGTAATTGTTTGTGAGTATAATATTAAATGCTACGAGATGGGAAATGATATAATATAAAGACCTAACTGTATATCTATCTATCTATCTATCTATCTATCACTGTATATACATGTGTGTACTCTCTCTCTCTCAACATTGCACAATGTGTGTGTGATTTCGTTCAGCTACACAACATGCAACTATATATGCTCGTCGCAATTATGTAAATGAACGACTGTAATTTAAGTAATTGCACCAATCTATTGATGGATTTTTTCAGCTAGGCAGCTACAATTTCCACATTCAGTGTACACGAGAAAAATTCATTTTGCGACCTCTTGCGGCGATATCGAATCCACTGTACACCGTAATGAAAAGGTAAACATACACACGCACCTGAGTCAATGACTGAGTGTTTGTACCTGCTAGACACGATTGCTTTGTTGTCTGTCGGTTTGTCACACAGGTTTACGAATCCCTCAATGTAACACGAATTAAAGAGCGTTTTAGCTAGACTTGTTCTTTTCGTCACTCGGGCGTGTGTATTGGAGTTTATATCAGTTTTGGACGTGTACAGGCTTATAATTGACAGTATGGATAACCACACCTGGGGAAAGGTATGCATTCTGGTATTTGTGATTATGGTCTCTTTCTTAACAAAGGGTATACTTAGCGATCCATGTCGACCAGTTACTAATCATATATTGTGGTGTAATGGGAGTGGAAATTCGGAAATTAACCAAACATTTATTACCGAAGTTTTGAAAACTAAACTTAAATCAGATTTACAAGAAATCCATATCTTCAACGGCAATTTCAGTGAGTTACCTGCCAATGCTTTCGGTAACTGTGCCTTAGGAGGTGTCAAATTAAATAACTTAGCGGAACTTGTGTTGTCCAATAATGAAATCAGTTTAATTCATGGTAAAACCTTCCATTGCATGCCGAATTTAAAGAAACTTTTTCTGGACAATAACAGATGGCAAATTCACATGGACAACAAAAACCATACGGGGTATTTTAACAATCTACCAAATCTCGTGGAACTGGACTTGACGTCTGCTTTCTATGTGGCAGAAAACCTCCATATCATTCGATTCCGACAAGTGCTTGAAAACAGCAATTTTAGAAAGCTCGAAACATTGCGACTTGGTGCGAATGACATGCAGTTTGTAGATGACGCATTTGGAAAAGCGCTCTGTACTATGGATAGCTTGAAGCATGTGAACCTACAATTGAACAGTCTGTATAAGTTGGAGTTTACACATTGTTTCCAAAAGGCTAAAAATCTGGAAAAGATAGACCTATCAAACAACGCCCTTTCAACCCTGGACAAGAGAAGCATGGATGTGTTTGACTTTATAAGGCAGTCTAACAAAAACTTCACGGTAAATCTTCTGGGCCAACAGTGGTCATGTGACTGCCACATAAAAGAGTTCAACAATTGGATACATAATACAAAAGTCCACCTTACTGGAAAGGACAAATTCATATGTCACGATGGGGCTAATTTCCATAAAAAAATCATCCATCTGACGGAGGCAGAAATGGTTTGCAATGACCCAGGTATTGACAGCTCTGTCCAAGCTGGAGTAGTGGTCATGATTGTCTTACTCGTTATAATTGCTGTGGCGGTGGTAGTAGTTGTTGTACTTTACAGAAGCCGTTTGACGTCATTTGCACGTGGCGTCAGGAAGTCGCTAGCGCGGGAAAGTCACGTGCAGTACTCCTCGGTAGACAACGCCCCTCTTACGGCTGAAGCTTGAGCAAAATCTCATTAATTTAGCTTAATGCTTTGTGTTAAACTCTGACACGCATATTCCTTCAATTTGCTCTTTGAAACCATGTCTGTGACGATGTGTTCTGCCAAGTTAAGTACACGTAGTATAGAATATAAGTATATATAGCTGTGGCCAAGGAAGGATCTAAACCAAAAAGAAAAATAGTGTGCGAGGGTGTCAGTGCATGAACCAAAAACAAGCGCGGACAAAAACACGTGTGAAAGGTGCTGAAGCAATATGAAAAGAACTGACTTACTAATATATACTGCGTTTGTATTATTGATACGTTTAATATGCACAGGGATCATTTTCTGTTTCATTTTATTAGTAAGCATCTAGAAATTAAGCCAGCATTAAGATTTAGAGTCAACCGAATACATGAACTAGCAAGCATTTCAACTAAACAAGCAAGCATTACATGTGCCAGGCATTGAAGCATTAATCGTACCCGAATGTCGGTCAGTTCTTTTAATACGTCATATAATTTAGCACAAATAGGGGTAATTAATCAGTATTGAGCAACAAACTCTCTTCTTAATGCATAACACAGAGGAGAACGAAGCTAGTTGTGAATGTGAAGAACGAAGCTAGTTTTGTTGAAATTCAATAAATCTATTTCCTGCATTTGTATGGAATTACTACCACCAATCCGCCATATACGTCCAGTAGCCTACGGCAGAAGCTAAAGCTTTAAGAAAATGAACTTCAATGCTTAGCAGAAAATGGTAAGAGAAGAACAAAGCCAGTTGCAAATGCGAAGAATTCAAATGTAGTATCGAAATTCAATAAATCTATTAGTTTTGAAATGCAATTAAATCGATTTCCTGCAAGTGTATATATAGAATTGCCATCAGAAATGTCATGCGTCCAGTAGCCTATGGCAGGAAGCTAAAGCTTTCAGAAAACGAACTTCAATGCATGCTTAGCAGAAAACGGTACATGTGCTATTAATATCACAGTTAAAAAACGTTCAATTATGTTAAAAGTCATTTCGCCATTCCCATGTACAATGCACAAACTTCTTTGTCGATATAAGCCAAAGATTTCGTCTAGTGATAACCTTGTATCTTATTTTGAAATCTAATTGACTGACTTTCAAACCATTCACGTATTTCATATAACAGCTTGTGATGTTACAATTTCATTCATTTTGTGAAATGACCAACTTAAATTTATTTTGATATACCATTAGCAAGTCTTCAACCATGTATGTTTAATGACTTTTCCTTTAAGAGCCTTGGACAACTACCTGGTACAAAGAAGAAAAAAAAGAAAGAAAGGTCGTAGATTAATTTTTGAATTCGGGTTAATGTTCTTGTAATACAGTTTTGTTTTCGAAACATTATGAAAGGGGACTTGGATTAACTTTTCAAGCCGAGGGGTTAGGGGTTAGTTCCGCTCCACGCAAACTCTTCTATGGATTGTAGGGAGCGTATAGCGGACTGAAAACCCTTAGGGTGCGAATATATATGGACTTGGATATAAATGATGTTTGATACGAATGTTATTCAGGCTCGCAGGAAGCAATTTCAGTTTTTTTTTTTCGGGGAGGGGGGGGTGCACAACCAATCATTTTTAGTTGGGGGGGGGGGGGGGGCACGACAAAAAAATTCGAAATTTCCTTGACAAGCAAAAAAGGGGGTCATCAGATGTTATTTTTGGGGGGACAAAGGATATGGTAGCTATGTTTTTTTATTGTTTTCTATAATATTCTATATATCGGCAAAATTATTGCCCCCCCCCCTCCGGTTCCTACGGCCCTGTATTATAATTAATAGTTGGTATAACATCTCTCACCATTAGCATTAGAATATAAAAGTGTTGCTATCGCTTAGAAAAACTGCATGAAATTTGTCATGGTGCCTTGCTTATATTAATGCTCCTTTACCCCATCCTGCTTCCAGCATTGCTATAATTGTATAAAACAATGTCTTCAGTAAATTTTGTATAACGTGTACATGCTTCATTGTTTCATTATATTTTGTATATGCATTTTTATGAATGATCCTCATATCAAATGTTTATATATTTTTCCATTCCATTTTTTCCGCATAATTTGTATTTTTATATTAAAAATATCTTTTATTAAATTTGATTCTTTTCCATCAAATGATTTTTTTGTTTTGTTTTATGAACGGTTCCAACAATAACTATATAGACATGTACGGGCCTCAAAAGAGTCCAGACACTGAGTTTATCCCCCCCCCCCCTTGCCCTTGTTACAGGGAAGAGAGAGAGAGAATGTTCTCACTGTGTGATTCAACAAATCTATCACTTGCAAAGTTATATTTTACGATATTAACTTGAGGAACTAAAATTAACTTAGGGAAAATTCAAAGATGTGTTATTAATGGTGAAAAGTCTTTAAAACTTACAAATTCTTTGATTCGGTCAATCCATAGCACTTCGTGCTCGGTCGATTTGCTTTTCTATGAAGTCGATATATCTATGGATTGACCGAATGAAAGGGCTACATTTGTTATATTATTTTTTACAGAGATCGACAAAGCAAAATTTGAAAAAAAATAGGAACAAGCCACAAGTTTTCTCTCTTGTGTTTTTTATAAACACATAATGACTAGAGATAAAAAAATAAATTAAACTGTTTAGTGTGAGTTTCCTTAATACTGATAGTTATTTAGGGAATGTACTAATTTACAAGGATACATTTGTTGAATTATATTATATCAATTTATGAAAAAACATATCTATTTAATATCTTTTTGATATAAAGTATATCCTTATTCAAGTCATTTTTAAATTTCTTAAATTTTTATTGTTTATTGAAAAGAAACGGGGGGGGGGGGGGTAGCCGAGTACAACGATATACATGTATACGCAAATTCTAGTACTCTGAAGTTGATATTAAAAAGATGTTTGAGTTTCTGATTGACAATATTTATGTAGTTTTTGGAGATCAGGTCTTCCAACAATCTGTCAGAATTTCCATTGGTACCAATTTGCAACCCTTTAGGTTTCAGGCCTTCAAATCGGCAGAAGATTGAAGGGCTTTATTCAATCATTATTTGAAGCTAGATCTCACCCGACACGGGTAGGAAAAGTGTAGATATAGATTAAATCAAGCGTGAACCGAGGCGCCCCCTGAAATCCAAGATGCAACTGTGATTCCTTCACTCTTTTTTATATTTTTTTAAAACGTGCTAATTTCAGCGATTTTTTAATTTTTATTTGTATGAGTGTATTAAGACACACTTAGAAAAACAAATACACAAAATACACCCTCCAGAAACCAAGCGCCTATGAGTAAAACATGAAAACTATATCTTAAGGACAGACGATACGTTCCTCAATAATATATAATTTTTTCTAAGATTTTGTCATTGAAGTATTGCTACTTTAACATGTTAACTCGCAAAAAATTGAGGTACCTTACCAGGCATTTGTGCAAGATACCAGAGCATGGTTTTCCTATAAAATCCTTTTGGAAGAAACTTAATTAGCCAATAACACATTTTTTGGTGTTTCATTTTTTTAAAAAGACAATTAGAAATCAGTTTAGAAATCAGAAAGTAATTAATTTTTTTTAATATTTTCCACATAATTCGAAGTTATACAAAACAGATATTCGAGGAACGTATCATCTGACCTTAATATATAGAGTATTCAGCCCACACATATCTGTTGTGCTCTCAATTTTATTGAATCTGAGGCTATTATGGGTCGGATACCTTAAACAACATCGTTTGTTTGTTTGTATGTTGTTTAACGTCCCTCTCGAGAATTTTTCACTCATATAGAGAACGCCACCACTTGCCGGTGGAGAGCTGCAAATTTTGTCTTATATTCGGCACTTACGGCCATTGAGCAGTGAGGGATCTTTTTCGTACCAGCACCTACTGCGACACGGGACCTCGGTTTATACGGTCTCATCCGAAGGACCGGTCTCCACGTCCCACAGTGGGATTCGAACCCGCGACGTAAGGATCAACTCCTTACTTCGCGACTCTAGAGCAGACGCTCTAACCACTGCGCCACGCGGGCGACTAAACAACATCGTAAAATAAGTGTTAGTTCAGACTCATGCAGTTTCTTTTTGTGGTGACAATACAGAAGGACCTCGTGTAACGTCTGATTTTTAAGTTTTTAGAACTTGTGACCATTCAAGCATAAACAAAATATTACTAAATTTTATAAATGTATTTTTATTTTTCCTGTGTATATGAATAGAGTTTACTTTTTTAAAAAAGTTTTCGATCCGATGAACCGGTTAATCAGTCAGAACGTCTTGCGGTTAACCGATTAGAAATTCTGTATTCGATTGCCTTCCCTATTATTTTTACTAAAAGCGCTTCAAACCAAAAGATCACCTCCATCATTTTAATATCTACACAATATGTGTTCACATTCGATACGTATACATGTTTCAAAGTTTTACATATTACAGAATAGATATTACTACCCGTGTTAGACTTTCTTTGGCACAGAAAAGGCAAGATCAAGTGCTTATTCAAAATCTAAATATCATCATTTTGACAAGTGCTGTACACATTTAAATGCCTGAGTAAATGCGTACAACTGAGATATTTCCGATATACATACTAACACAGTCGCAAAACAGGCTTGGGGATTTGGCTCGTCTAATCCCCCCCCCCCACCCATACTTCATTAATGAATATTGTAATACAATGTATTTAAGGAATAACCGTCTAGTTTTTTGGTTTTATTTGATCAAACAATTTGCTCGCGTGATAATTTGCATAAATTCTGAAGGCGTTTATGCGTAAAATTTTCACGCGAGCAAATTGATTGATCATCATAAAACCAAAAAAACCAGACAGTTATTGCTTATATTTACATTTTTACCTGATCCTTAATTCAATTAAAAAAATCCAGTAAGACATCTCAACATCCCCACTAAGTGTATTACTTAAGCAACACGCAGCGAAAAAGCATGCAGTTCTGTCACGTGCTGAGCAAATCGATTTATGGGGTTATAAAACCATTAGCTCATTTGTGGTTTTATCTCAGAGAAAGACACTGGTAAATGTAAATATATTGACTTCATTACAAGTTGTGATATGTATAAGAAGAGTTTCCTGTCCCAGGGATTATAAATTTGCAAAAGTGTCCTTTATATTAATTGAGGGGTTTGAAATTCAAATAATTTATATTTTTCCCTCTTGCCAATGTACAACTAAAGACTTGAGGTTGAGTATATTTAGTGGCGGAAGAATGACGGCTTTTGGTGATGGACCCAGAATAATCTAAGGATCTATACACTCCACACTGAAGAATTTCAATTTCCTCATATTTTATGAATGATCTACCCTTTGAATTTTAACAATTAATAGAAATGTATTGCATAATACATAGTTTTCAATTCAAATATTTTTAACATTATATTAATCTAAGGTAAGTGACTGAATACTTTAAAATTTGGATGATATTTCCCTATTAAGTAAGCAACAGTCATTTCTGTTCATCGAAACTTTGTTGTCATTGAATCCTTTTCTTTGAGGAGAATGACAGGTACATGTACTCTATGTTGAAAATGAAACAAATCATCTCGATATGTTCACCTTTATACGATATAATCTTATCAAATTCAAAAAGGGGTCCCGGTGGGACTCTCCTGAGTGTCCTTAGAGAGAGTCCATAAATAAATATGATTTTCCAAACAAATTTCAGTCTTGTTAAGCTTTTGCAAACTTTCAATCTAAAAAACCGATTGGAATGAAAAAGCAGATTTAAAAAGTCTCTTCTCTCTTATTTCATGGTCAGTATTTTTTTTTTTTTTTTTTTTTTTTTTTTTTTTTTTTTTTTTTTGCCATTCAGGAAGTGTAAGGGATCACGGGGCAAGACTACTGATTTGGCGATAGTACTTTTGTTATCCTTAAAATTAAGATAATGACCTGGCCTGACCTTGCCACTAAAAGAAAATGGTCCAAATTAATTCATTTTTTAAAATCAATATTTTATTACATATATAGTCAATTACATAACTGGATTGGACATCAGACGTTGCTTATATAAGTCCTCTCCAGGAAGGTCAAGGTTACTTCGATTGGTCATATTTATATGAGTTGTTCCATAACTGGATAGTAGAAGGCAAAATGAAACTTTTCATTGTAAATTAATCTATATAAATTCAAGAAAACTTTTGATTTCTCCTCCCCCCCCCCATTGACTTTGCCTGCCAAGTTTAATAAAATACACAGTGCACGCATATCTATTAGTATATATAATTTTCTGAAAAGAAAAGCATAATTACCCAGTGACTTATATACTATATACGTCCCTGATATACCCTAGAGATAAATATTACTGAACACTCATACTGTATCTATTCTATGGATTTTTCTCTCATGTCTGGTGTCGATATTGAATCAATTATTTCACATTTCAACATTTTTCTGTATATATGTAGGTCCCTAGGTAATCGCTTTTCAGAAAGTTATATACAATAATAGATATATGCGTGTATTTTATTAACAGACTTGGCAGGCGTAGTGCGATCGAGGGGGAGGGGGGAAGCTTTTCCCGAGAAATCAAGTTTTTTTTCTTTTGCATTAATTTAGATTAACTATGAAAAGTTTCATTTTAATACCCCCCCTCCCACACACACACACACACACACACACACACACAACACACACACACACACCTTTCATAGCACAGGCACTTGTTTTTGTAATAAATTTTTGACCCATAGTACACAGGCACTTGTTTTTGTAATAATTTTTTGACACATAGTATATTATACTATGGGTCAAAAATTTATTACAGAAACAAGTGCCTGTGTTTTGAACATAGCCTGCACCATGAAATACTTGTTTTGTTTTGTTTTTTTTTTCTCAAGTATTTTTTAAAAACATTTTGGACTCAAGTTTTTTATTGCCCCCCCCCCCCCCCCAAAAAAAAACTTCCGCCAGAGTTCGTTTTTATGTGCGGAGACGAGGAGAACTAAGGGTAGTATTTCCTCCCTATGCCTCCTCCCCCATTGTGTACACACAGATTAGAAACTTGAAACTTGAAACTTTTATTTTCACTAAAGCCCCCACTTGGGGTATGTTAGTACAATAAGAGTTTAACAATTGAACAAATCAACATGTGAACAGTTAACATAATGAACCACAAAAAGAACTTTGATATGGACAGTACTGACGGTTGTATAAAAAAAAAATCGTTTAATGTTTACATTGCAGGAAGTTCAGGCATGAAATAATTTAAGAACAGTTTTACAAAACTTAGCTAAACCTATTAGTTCATATATATCAGAAGTATTCATCAAATTATAAAAAGATATTGTGTTTGGATTTGTGTAAATATTGCTAGGTATAAATTTCTGTCTTTCATTCTTAAAAAAGGACACTTAAATAAATAATGAAACTCATCCCCAAGTTCATTGTTATTGCAGATTAATTACGTGCTACCCACATGGTCGAAAGAAGTTATGCCCCTTGCTTAGAACTCTTCAGTAATAAAAACAACATTGCCACGAAATATTGACAATATGGCTGACTGGGAAGAAGTGAAACGTCTGGCAGCTGATTTTCAGCGAGCTCAACTGAGCAGCACGAGGCAAAAGTAAGAATTTATTAAGATTTTTTAAGTCTCCTTCGATTTATCGCGAAAAAAGGTTCGTAGTTTGTAGGATATGCTTAAAAAAATTAAGATTAGGGTTCATATGTTCATCATCCTCGCTGTAGCCTCGGACACTGTAAATTAATGTGAATATAGAGTATGTGCATGTATGGAAAAGTCCTTTTTTAAACATGCATATATTCTATACTTAGGTTAACTTCCAATGTCCGTGTCTTTAGCCAGCTTGTTTAGTACAGTATCATTTTAATGATAGAACATTCTAATGCATGGTATGGTAACCCTTTCTTGAGATAGTACGGAGTTCCTGTTTATAGATTACCTCAAATTTAAACATTTAACATCACCTTTTCAGTTTACATTTCATTTTATGTTACATGGACTTTTTCGGGATTGCCTTTGTTTGTCTTAAATGCATTAAAGTTTGCTGTGACAAATTATTTCCCATATATATAGTAGGGCCGGTGATGTTGTGTGGTTTCAAACAGGTGCAAATCTCTGTAATTTAATGTCTTTCATATACTACTAATTATGAACTCTCTTTCATCATGCTGCAGTTATTTTGTATCATTTCTTAATTACACATGAAATTGAAAGTACATTTTGTATACAGAGTTTTTAGCTTTATCATAGATTTGAATATACATTTAGATTGTTTTAATATCTTTTTCCTTTTTTTATATAAAAGGTTATCAGAGAGAAATGTGATTGAAATTGTTGCCAAGCTGGTGGAACAGAAATTGATAGATGTAATTCATACATTGGATGGCAAGGAGTACCTGACACACCAGGAACTGGCTAAGGAAATTCAGGATGAGCTAGTTGTTCATGGAGGTATTAGTTTAAATTAATAAATAATTAGATCAATTTTACATTGTTGTATAATCTTTAAATCATCTTATCATTTAAACTTTTTGCATTCCCTTATTTTACTAGGTAATAATGCATGCTTTAAGACCTGAATGTGTGATTTATGCTATTTTGTCATACATCGTCTATTGGCTGTCTGTGATCTGCTTTAGTATGTTATTTACAATTAAGTTTGATAAACTTTCAAGCTGAATATGATTATTTTGCAGGGAGAATCAACTTAGTTGACCTGCAGCAGATTCTGAATGTTGATTTTCGACATATTGAGGATAAAGTTACAGAGATGGTGAAACAGGACCGAAGCCTCACGCTTGTCTTAGGACAGCTTGTTGACAAGTATGTTTGATGTCTAAAATTTTCTTTAGTTGAGGTCCAAGGATATCTCATTCAAACAATATATTGGATAGTTAGAGCCTGTAGATTTTCATAGTAAGTTGGCCCTGTGACATTTCATATATGTATGTTGAATAATTAGACCATGTAGACATGTGCAAGGACAGCTTTTAGACAGATACGTAAAACATCTCAGACCATTTCAATATTTCATATGTTTTAGTCCTAAAAAAGCTTAAAGATTTTTTTTTTGATGGTCAAGCAACTGGCAAATTATGAAAGATGAAGATGAGTTTGATGTATAAAATTCATTGTATATGTGCATTGTACTCTACAAGTATGACATTGTTTGCCATAGTAGCAGTCAGAGTCAATCGTTTTTTCCGTATCTTTTGCAGGAACTACTTAGACAGTATGGCAGAGGAGGTGAATGATAAGCTACAAGATAAGGGTTACCTAACTATGGTGGACATCACCAAACAGTATGACTTGCCGTCCGATTTTGTCTCATCAGTAAGTACAAATACCTGGTATTTAAATGGCCATCAATGAACTTCATTCTGTTCACTGGACATAAGATATAGATCTGTTAGTTCCAGGATCAAGTACAGTTTTATATATGTGTTCCAGAGTGAATTATCATACAGAGTATCAGGTATTCTTTTCATAGTTTGAGTTTTATGAAAATGGTAACAGACTTAAAGCAGGAATTCATTCTTTGTCCGACATATGCACTTTTCAGCACATCAGAGACAGAGTAGGAAAAATTATCAAGGGAAAGCTAGACTCCCAGGACAGGGATGTGATATATACTGGAGCATTTATCACCAGAATGAAGGCACAGATACGAGGGGCTCTTAGTGCCGTTACAAGGTAAGGTCTGAGGAATTCTTAGTGCTGTTACAAGGTAAGGTATGAGGGGCTCTTAGTGCTGTTACAAGGTAAGGTCTGAGGGGCTCTTAGTGCTGTTACAAGGTAAGGTATGAGGGGCTCTTTGTGCTGTTACAAGGTAAGGTCTGAAGGGCTCTTAGTGCTGTTACAAGGTAAGGTATGAGGCTCTTAGTGCTGTTACAAGGTAAGGTATGAGGGGCTCTTAGTGCCATTACAAGGTAAGGTCTGAGGAATTTGTAGTGCTGTTACAGGGTAAGGTCTGAGGGGCTCTTTGTGCTGTTACAAGGTAAGGTATGAGGGACTCTTAGTGCTGTTACAAGGTAAGGTCTGAGGGGCTCTTAGTGCTGTTACAAGGTAAGGTCTGAAGAGCTCTTAGTACTGTTACAAGGTAAGGTCTGAGGGGCTCTTAGTACTGTTACAAGGTAAGGTCTGAGGGGCTCTTAGTACTGTTACATGGTAAGGTCAGAGGGGCTCTGAGGTACAAGGTAAGGTATGAGGGACTCTTAGTGCTGTTACAAGGTAAGGTATGAAGGGCTCTTAGTACTGTTACAAGGTAAGATCCGAAGGACTCTTAGTGTTGATACAAGGTAAGGTCCAAGGGGCTCTTAGTGCTGTTACAAGGAAAGGTATGAGGGACTCTTAGTGCTGTCACAAGGAAAGGTATGAGGGACTCTTAGTGCTGTAACAAGGTAAGGTATGAGGGGCTCTTTGTGCTGTTACAAGGTAAGGTCTAAGGGGCTCTTAGTGCTATTACAAGGTAAGGTATGAGGGACTCTTAGTGCTATTACAAGGTAAGGTATGAGGGACTCTTAGTGCTGTTACAAGGTAAGGTATGAGGGGCTCTTAGTACTGTTACAAGGTAAGATCCGAGGGGCTCTTAGTGTTGATACAAGGTAAGGTCCAAGGGGCTCTTAGTGCTGTTACAAGGAAAGGTATGAGGGACTCTTAGTGCTGTCACAAGGAAAGGTATGAGGGACTCTTAGTGCTGTAACAAGGTAAGGTATGAGGGGCTCTTTGTGCTGTTACAAGGTAAGGTCTAAGGGGATCTTAGTGCTATTACAAGGTAAGGTATGAGGGACTCTTAGTGCTGTTACAAGGTAAGGTATGAGGGACTCTTAGTGCTGTTACAAGGTAAGGTATGAGGGGCTCTTAGTGCTGTTACAAGGTAAGGTATGAGGGACTCTTAGTGCTGTTACAAGGTAAGGTATGAGGGGCTCTTTGTGCTGTCACAAGGTAAGGTATGAGGGGCTCTTTGTGCTGTCACAAGGTAAGGTCAGAAGAGCTCTCAGTGCTGTTACAAGGTAAGGTACAATTGGCTTATAGTGCTGTTACAAGGTAAGGTCCAAGGGGCTCTTAGTGCTATTACAAGGTAAGGTATGAGGGGCTCTTTGTGCTGTTACAAGGTAAGGTCTGAAGGGCTCTTAGTGCTGTTACAAGGTAAGGTCTTATGTCCAAAAGATCAGTGATCAGAAGATTTTTTTCTTGCTGTCTTTCTTCTGTCTCACTGCTAGATCGTTTCTCTTTCTTACCACAACTTTAACATTGGCAATGACCTCTGAAGTGTTTGAGATATATTCATATTATTTTTTTTTTTGAAACATGAAGGTAAAGGTTTCATGTCATTATATTTAATATTGAAAGCAATAGTGTACTATCCATAATTTTGTTTTGAAAGTAAATTGAGGACATATTCATGTGATATTCACCTAATTGAAAAAAAGTATAGGTACAACTGATGTAAATATCTGCTTTATGTATGCTAGGTACATGTGTTTTCTGTGTGTAAATTCTATTTATAGCATTTTTAGCTTGTTGGCTATCGTACATAACTTTAATACCTGTGGCTTCTTTTACAGGCCAACTACTGTTGCCATGGTTATGCAGCGATATGGATTCCAAGAAAGACTCTTCTTTAGTAAGGACATCTGAATTATGAGCATCAGTTTTGAAGGTCTATTGTTAATTTAGGGATATGCATAATTGTTATAATGCATCTATATTATTTCTTGATTATACGTAGTACAGTTATATATCCTTTTGTTTATATGTAATTTTTCAGTGGTAAAAAATTATTAAACCAATTTATCATAATTTTTAAAAACGTTTCAGATATTTTGGAGGAGCTGGTTCATACTGGTCGATTAAAAGGAAGTCTGATTGGAAGGCAGGAAAAGATGATGTATATACCAGAAATCTACACCAAGGCACAGAACGATTGGGTGGACAACTTCTACAAACAAAATGGATATCTGGGTCGGCTACATTAAATTCCTAAAGACTATCAGTGTTCTAAAAAGTGAAAGTTGAATGCCCTCTCATTGTTTTTTAATTCTTTTAGAATATGACACCTTAGTACGACTGGGAATTTCTGATCCCAAGACTTTCATTAAGAAGCGCTTTAAGTCTGAGCCCATTATTTACCTGAAGCGTGTCTGTGTGGGCAGTGGGCTGATGGACCAGATCGAGTCATCCATGGAAGAGGCGGTCACTACTGACGGATACTCAGATGTCATGGTATGACCCTATTGTGAACACGACAAAAAATGTCAAGATATTTATTATATGAATGATAGACTGATGAATGATGAATGTTACACTTGAGAAATTATGTCTATAACAAAGTCTCATCTGAATGATATAGTTATAATAAGTAAATTATTTACACATGTTACCATTATTTAAAGTTAGATTTGATCTAGAGTTTCACAGATACTATCGATTTGATTTGATTACACTTAGTTTTCACAGTTCAGCTAATTAAAGACTTTGATTGCCTAAGGGTATACAAATTTTGAAGACCTGAGTTAATTACAACTATACTTTATTAATTGATGCTAGACCGCAGTGCTGGATTAAACAAGATGCCACCAAACCCATCAAAAGCATTTTTTCCAAAAATTTTTTTTTTTAAATTTTAATCCGTAAATTGTAAAATTAATAATACATGTATGTGAAGTGGAATTGACATACACATTCTGAAACCAGTGATATACATGTATAAAGGGCACCCTGCAAAAACAACTGATATAATGGAAAAAACATATTCGAAAATGAATTTATTTAGAAGCTTTTATAATTACATGTGTAAGTACTGATATATAGATTAAGTGCAAATAAAGCGCATTTGTGTTTTATGAATGATAAATATGGAAACTGTTACGATGATACATATATTATAGTTACTATTGAATATATATACCACAAGAAAGAGTGTTTAGAGGCTCAAAGAAAACCATCCGAGTAACTGGGTACTCGATCGAACAAGTAAGCGAGTAACCGGTTACTAAAAATCGTTCGATTTGACAACACTAATAATAACCCCAAAGTTATATCACAGTGATTACAATACTCTGTGTCATACTGAATAATTGGTCATTTCTGCGTTATGAAATTTTTGCAAATTGATTTTCAAAAAATAACATTTAAATATCAGCATTTTGATTTTTCAATCTCAAAAGTAAAAAAATATAGAATAGAAGAAAATTCAGTTAATTTTTTATGATTTTGATGGAATTGCCAATTTCTTTCAAACAGTGGATGACCTAAGAAATTTACCAACTTATGGTTATCTACCTGTCTCCATGCATAGATTAATTGAATGCATGCTTTTGATGTTTCTTTGTTTATAGACTCCCCTGTTACTGAACTCTCCTTGATGTTAAACTCTATCAAATCTTAATTTTTTAGCCTCTGCTGCCGTCAGTTTTCACTGAGGAGGATTGTCATCTCCTGCTACAGGAGTGCGTCAAGAAGCAGACGGATGCCATCATATGCTGTGATACCATAGTAACCAGTCAGAAATACATCTCAAAGTGGAAGGAACCGTTTGTTTCACTCGTCGAGGAAAAGGCTGAGAAGGTAAAACAATGCAGATGAATAGGTCTGGAATATATTGCTATCAATGTATTGTAAACTTAAGCTGTAAAAATTTGTCTGAATCTAGAGGAGGAAGGAAGAGGTCATTTACATCCATATGTTCGTAAAGTACATACTTTTCATTTATGATTTCAAAAACTCATTTATTGAAAAAAAATGATATAACAAACCTAGGAGTGGCCAGTCATTTTAGTTTGGTATAATTAACACCATCAGAAAAGTGAGTAAACATATACATATATTTATGTAAGAACCTTGTAGATGTTTCAGGGTCAGAAGAAAATGTTCATGTGAAAAGATTTATCAAAGACGTAAATCATATGGTGTCTGATATCTTTTTTCAGGATGCAAGAAGTAACCCCCATTTATTTCTGACCACAGACAAAAAAGGGGCAACATCCAAGTCTGTGATTTCAGAGGAAGGCTCTAAAGAGGACAGAAAAGATCAAAGGAAGAAAAAACAAGCCAGTAAGTGGTCAGATCACACGGAACAATTTGAAATAGATCTTACTGTAAGGATTTGGGAGAAAAATAAGATAGCCCAAAGTGCCAAATCGAAACACAAATCACTCAATCCTTTAATATTTCAGCCCTCAAATCTGTATCAGATTAAAAAAAAAACATTGATAAATTTAGTTCTCCACATTTAAAAGTTTTGTATATTGGTAAAGTTATAGTTTTATAATCATATACATGTATGATTTAAAGTTTAATAGCTCACACGATGAAGAGAATTATCAAATTCAGAAATACATAACTTAGGTTCTTTACAATTTTAAAATGATACTGTTTGATGACAGAGTTATCTCCCCCTTTGCTGATTGAAGTGGCACCAGGTTGTTACCAAATGGTGGTAAAAGGTACTCCCCACTCATTCTGTTAATCCATGTTAATTCTTGTTAATCTTTTTTTTTTTTTTTTGGCTTTGTATTGTTTGATGTAGAAACTGATCAATTTCAGTTTAAATGAGACCTGTTAATTAATTTTGCCTGCTTTCTATGAAAAGATGACAATGTATTACTAATGTTACCTGTACTTATTCTGGGTACACTCTATACAATTTTCTAATTTTTTCATGTTTTATTAATTGTCTGTTATAGGCCAGATTACAAAGCAAAGTATGGTTAATAGACTATATCTTTTAAAGGTTTTTTAGCGTTTGCAATCAAATTTTACATCATAACTCCCCATGACTTGAAGAAAACCTCTATTGATTAAGAGGTCATATGTCAAGTACACAAAATCGTTGATAATACTCAAATACTTTGAGAGAAAACATTTCTCTTTTTCAAGGAAATTACAGTACATAATAGCATTATTTTACTGAAATTTGTTACATGAAGCCCAGATGTGTCATTACTCATATCCAAATGTAAAAATTTGAAAAATGTAACGTGTCTTATCATTAAAAAAGTCTATATGCCTTGTGTTTTGGAGGCCAAATTCAGTCTCTTTTGTGCATTGACTGCCTTTGCATTCTGTCCACTTTCATGTTTAAAAAAAAAATCCCTCAAATTTACAAGAGATTTGATCAGTTTGCTACTTTCCATTACTTTCTAAGGTGTTTCTCATATGAATTATATGTACTATTCATACTCACACATACGTATGTTTAGATTCTGTATCATTTAGGTACATGTACTTTTTTTCAGCAACCTTTGTCTTCCATGAAGACTGCCTACCAATAATATTCATGAATCAGATAAAAATCGCATAATATTTTTGTATTTACATCTAACAACAAATATTATATGATAACAACATAGATTTTACAAGACATCAAATATATATATTAACTTCTCATAATATATATGAAACACAGTAATATTTAAAAACACAAAGTAAGATGGTATGGTAAATTAAGGTAAAAGGTATCTGCACAGTGTATGTTATGTATAGTTTAGAAGAATATACAGCTTATGTATACCAGATGCTATACATGTATTAATTGACATCTTTACAGATGAAATAAAGATGTGCTTTTAGCAATCACTCAGTAAAAAGGCATGTAATCTTAAAAAACTAAATCTGGTAAACTGAGTGAGGGAAGAAGTTTTTATTCATTTTCCAGTGTTGAATACAGAGAGTTATTTATAATATGTTTGTCTGGTTGTTTGTAAATAAATTGTTCGCATTTTTAGGTTCCACAAAAAGTGGTGGTGGAACCCAAGGTCGTGAGGTCAAGATGAAGGCCACCAAGAAGAAGTATCACAAAGGTCGTGGGGACCAGGGAGGGGATTCCGATGAGGAGGAAGTATCACGTCCCCGTCAAACAGAGGTACAGTTCATGTCTGTGGAGGAGATCACAGAGGAATTAAGGAAACAACCAGAGCTCAGAGATTGTCCCGAAGACTTCATCACTGAGATTGCTACTCAAATACACAGGTGAGAGTGATTCTGATGGTCATGGAGACTGAGCATAGGTTTAGATTAAATTATGAAATTTGACTTTCTGAAGTAAAAGAGGACTTCTTGAACATGTTTATGTCACCTTAACCATACTCAATGTATTCTATGTAGGAATGCATAATAAGGAGTGTAGATCTTTAAAACTCTTCTTATAATCTTGTAACATGATTCTAATTTGGACAAATTCAAGGTCATTATAGAAGGTCAAGTCCAGTTTAAAACTTTGTAACCAATGTGTCATGACTTAAGTCCAAGATTCCAAGGTCATTTGAACAAGTTCAAGGTCACTTGCTGAAGATGTTTGTAATAAATAGAGATATGAAGCTCTTCCTTGAATTAAAGATTATTCAGATCGTAGGGTAATCTCTTGTTCCAGTTAATGGTAATTTTGCCAGATTCAAGGTTACTTGCAGAGAGAAAATTTATTTCTGGACACTGTAATATATTTTTTTTGTAACTGAGAAACAAGGTCCACTCATTGCTTATGACTGACCCCAGGTTAATTACACAAATAAAGGTCACAGGGAAGGAGGAATCATTTTGTAGAATTTTTAAATCAAAGTTAAACTTAACAATAGTTTGCAAATTATTTTTAGAATGAAGGAAAGTCTCTTAGTTCAGCTGAATTAAAATTTCTGTGATGTTGGTCCTCCTTTGAAATGTTGATTTTGTTTACAGACCCCTAAACAGAGAATATCATCAAAAGGCAGTGAATGTTCTACATTCCACAGCAATCCAGAGTTCTGGGTCAGGGAAGAAAAAGACACACAGTGACCTACAGGAGAAAATCACGGGACTCTGGACCAATGTCTTGCTGTTTGAAAAAGGGGCAAAGTGCTTTCAGGGTATGAAAAATATGAAGATGACATTTTTTGAATTGACATATTTCCCCCAAAATGTAGCATTCTTCCACTTCTAAAAAGAAATTTAGAAATGAGATAAAATAATGAATGAAATAATTATAGATTAGATATTTGCATTTGTATTTTCCTTTGACTTGCTTAACATACAGAATTGGATGTTAGTTAATGTGAATACATGTATTATCATTTATATTTTTTTTTTCCTCAGAGGAGACTGAAGTTCTTATTAAACATTTACTGAAGACTGTGTGTACTGACATCACAAACGTGGTGGTAAATGTCCTCATGCATGACCACATGTTGTCCAAATCGGAAGAAGAGGAGACTCTAACCCCAGAGGTGAGTGTTTGGTGAAAAAAAGCTAGGATCTGGTTTTAGTATTGTATATGCACAGACTCAGAGTTGACTGATGTTAAAATTAAATATCACAAGTTGTTGAATACTCTTAAGTGAAAATATAGTCTGGTTTTTGTTTCACTTTGAAAGTGACACTTTGTCATATTTATTTTTTATTTGCTGATGATAACATGTGATGGATAAAAATCATGCCAACTATAATAAATCTCCTATTTAATTAAGAAAAAACTTTTCAGGCTGCTAATGAAGCATTTTCTTCAAACTTATTTTATGCACATGGAATTTGAATATTTATTTAGAACTTCAGATTTTGATTTCAGTCTCGAGCAAAATATATCAGCAAACTTCCTGAAAGTGTTCAGCAGTGTGCTACCAAACTTAACAGCTCATTGAATGGAAAAGTCAGTATAAAAATGACTGAAAACAAGAGTTATGATAGCTCAATTTAAAAGAATTGAAGAAGACTTTAATCTGTAAAAATTTCAAGCACTTTGGTTTAGTATAAATGAAATATCAGTAAATAATTCTTGCAATACCACTACTCCATTTTATAGTCTTTGGATGAGTTTTACAAGCAGCTGGAGGTTCTTTGTGGTCCTGAACACCTTGGAATTTTACTGAGAAAACCTGATAAAAGGAAGGAAAGGTAAATGTCAGGAAATGTTCTTTGTACATTTTAAGATACATGTAATAGATTTTCTGCAACAAAAGAAAAAAAAAAGTGAATTCCAAGTCTTTTACTTGTCTTCCTATTACATACAAATGAATGTCCACATCATACTCAGGCAAATGTGGCTTACATAAATTTTATATGGAATTCACATGAATTTCATGTGAATTCTTTGCATGAGAAAGAAACAAAAAACAAGACATATGAAGTTTATGTGAAAACTTCAAGCCAATTTGACATAACTTTAATATGAATTTTCCATGAAGAGCATATCGCATAAATATTGTGCAAAGAAAACTTCACATGAATTCACAAATTACGTGAATATCATACAAACTTATTCACCTGATATTCGCATGAAAAAATATTTACATAATTTTTACATGATTTTCACATAATTTTCAAATAAAAAGATAATCACCTGAATATCATTTAAGTCACTTTTCCCTGTGAAGCAAACATTTTCTTGTGTGCATAAAATTTTAGCAATACAATTTGTTGCATTTTATAACATTAGAACATCTAGTGTAAATGATTCATTCTTTATTTGTCTTTTATTCTGTACAGACAGCTGATCTTCAATCACCGCCAGGCCCTCGTGGAACAGTTGTCAACAGAGACAGATCCGGCCATGCTCTTACACCTGTCTGTGGTCATTTTATTCCAGACTTTTACCTCCAATATTGTTCATGCCCCTGGAAAATGTGTCCCCCAAATTATCACCTTTCTAAAACAACACCTCGCACCTGAGTCTCATGAGCTACTTGTACAGATGCAAGGTAATTTGGGACATTATTTGAATATGAAAAGGTTCATATAGGCAGAATGAAGGAGAATCAAGAAATTTTTAATCTCCTTGACATATATGCAGAATAGCATATTCATCCTATATCTGTCTTTGTATATGAGTATACATGTAATTCTTTGTATGTAAAACAGGTAAAGTTTCAACTTATGTGAGCATATAAAGTGAGCAATATATGAATTACGTATGTTCAATATACATGATATATGATATCTCTGATATTTTCATAGTATGACAAACAGGTGTTTTAAGCATATTTATTTTCAGCTTATGTACTTTTCATACATATGTTAAACATAATATTAAATTTAATTGTTGCTAATACATGTATTTACAATATGTAAAAACACACACACACACATATACATGTATACCCTAGGAACATGCACGTACAATATGTATTTCTCTCTCTCTTTTTTTTTTTTTTTGAACGTGTACAATTTGACTTGTGTGATAACTATTTTGCATAATTATCATCAAACTACATATATACCGTACATGATATTGTTTTATATTTGTCAGACCTAGTCATTCAGCAGATGAAGCTACAGAGTGAAGACAAAGACATGTCCGAGGTTATGGAGGAACTAAAGAAACTGAAACCACAGGTGGTAGATATTGCCACCAAAACAAAGAAGTCAACACAGAAACAGGAAGAGGAAAAGTGAAAGTAGAATGGGAGGAAAGGGACTGAAAAAACGATCCAAAGGAAAAAAATCATAAAGATATTCTAAATAGCATTAATCAGCCATCTTAAGCTAAAGAATTTTTTTTTATAAATATACTTGTGTTTTCTTGCTAGCATATGTTGATAAATTATCAGGCAGTTTGACATGTTTTAGTCACTTTAAAAATAATACTACCACCAATAAAATTTATTGAAGTTTATAACTCTTTTTTTTTTTTGACCTGCAGATGGTGTTCTATTTTCATGTAATAGGTGCTAAATGTTCAGAGAGTCCATCTTGATACTGATAAGGTTTAGAATGTGTGTAGTATGAAATGAAAAGGGGAAGGCAGGTATTGATACAGATCATATATCTTCTGTACAGAAAAATCTGAGAACAACACATCTGTGAAATATCTTAAGTTTAGAGGCAAAATTTGTCAAATAAAAAATTAAGAATTCTGTAGGTAAACCTATTTTTTTTTTTGAAAACTGTGCTTTATTTTCATAAAACTGTCTTTCATTAGCTGTAAAGTATTCTATATCTTCACCAAGATGTCTACCAAATCTCTCATTGTGTAGAAGATTTACATATTTTAACAAGTTGAAATACAAAATCATGTGTATATAATTTTCTGCTAAAATTAATTGTCATAAATTGAAACCACATTCTAGTGATTTTGTCAGACTGGAAAATTAATCTCTTCAGTCAAACACTACTTTGAAATTTTTCAGAAATATTTCATTGTGGAATGAACTTTCTTAACACCCTTTAGAAGACCCTTTGGCAAAGTAGAGTGTTCAACTACATGTATGTTTATTATGAAAAAGACATTTTTGGACCATTTTAAAATAAGAAGTAATTGTATTCAATGAAAATACTAAATAATAGGTATTTCTATGGTTATGGAAATTTTTGCAATTTGACCACTGAAACAGCAATTTCATTTGGCTTTGAGCATTACAGCGAAATGCGCACAGCTAGGCTGGTTCCTACACCTCTACAGATGAAAAGCATGATGACGTGCCATAAACACAGTCGCAACTGGGACACCTTCGACAGACAAGATGTTTTAACCTGTATTTTGGGTGTTGGCAACCCAGGCACGGTCGCTGTTGGTCCTTGCATGGGTTCTGGGGGGCAGATTTCTTGCTGCAGGGCTTTGTGGGGGCGTACTTTTTACGGATATTTGGCTCAAATCTGTACTTAGATCGGAAGCTTTTTACAGCTATGTTAATAATATAAACATTTCGCTGAAGAACTAATATGAAAGATGTGGTATTGATAACGCATTCTGAGAGTATTGCACTAGCAATACTAGTCCCCTACCGGCAAGTGTAATCTGGTTCCTGTTAAAAATTGAAAATGCCATAATTCCTTCAAAAATCAATGAAGCAGAATGAAATTCAAACTTGATCTGTAACTCAGTAATATACACTTACATACCAAAAATCAGCTCAATATCTGTAAGCGTTTAGGAAAAAAGTGCGGAAAACCAAGTGGGACAGACTGACAGACAGACAGACGCACGGACAGACAGACAGACAGACGGACGGACAGACTCAGAGGAAACCTATAGTCCCCTCCGGTTTCACCGGTAGGGGACTAATAAAAATGATATGTAAATTTTTTGTATAGCAAACATATATATCTATACAGATTATTGTACATGTATATACATGTGAACTGCGCGTAGAAATGTGGATCTACATCGTGGGAAATATCATGCAATGGGATTCACTTATCTACATCCTCATTTGTCAGGAAGAGAAATGTGACACAGGTGAACCTTTATTCCAAAAGCCATGCAGAAGATAGAATTTGGAATATTTTGCGATTCAAATCGATCGAACTCAAAGCACAGAAAATCTAGGGAAATCGATTTTATCCTTACATATTTGTAAGCGATCTGTTACAGTTTTTTTTCATTGTCCCTTGCTTTCACTGAAAGTGGTGGAATATCAATTTGAGTCCGTCCGTCCGGCTGTCTGTCTGTACGTCCGTCTGTTACGCTTTGGGGAACCCGTCTCTTATCCGCAACTCCTCTTATACCACTGAATGAATTTTAATGAAACTTTCACAGAATCTTTGTTACATAGTGCCATTGTGCACCTCCTATTTTACTTTTTGATCGGACACATATTTCGGGTTCCCTATAGCAAAACATGGACACTGCCATTCTTTCTATAATATTGAAGGGTACCCATCTCTTATCCGCAACTCCTCCTATACCACTGCATAAAATTTAATGATACTTTTACAGATTCTTTATTACATAATGCCATTGTGCACCTCCTATTTTACTTTTTGATCTGACACTTATTTCGGGTTTCTCAGAGCAAAACATGGACTTTGCCATTATAATCATATGGGAGGGGGGGGGGGGTATCATTTAGTGAGCTCAGTGCTCACAGTACCTCTAGTTTTCTTTGCAGTTAGTTGAATACGTCTTTGAAACAGAGCCAGTGTTAAACATATTTAATCAAGCCACAAAATTCCTGTAAATGTGTATTCTGTCATGTACAACGTAATATAGTTTAACTGTTTTTGTTCAGAGGTATTTTTATTCACCACAGTAGAAAACTCGATTGAGCTTTAACTGATCATATTAAAGTTTGTCTGTTGATTGTTAATAACTTTTCACATCTACAACTTTTCAGGAAATGGCCAATATCAACCAAACTCGCCGCAGTGGAAATTTAGTTCGGTAACAAAAATTCAAAGTAAGGTTTATGTACAAAATGTTGGAACAGTCTTATGTGAGACTTAAACATTATACACAATGTTGTGTTATTTTATTTAATAATTATATGAAGTCTCTTAAATTATATCGTGTATAACTTCCATTATACAAGTATGACTGTCGTTGAAAGCGCATCAACAGAGCAATTCATTTTTCCTCCGTATGTTGTAGTACCCTCATTAGGAATTTTCTGATGAGGGCTTATTTGTGAATCTTGAACTCAAAATAAGCAAGGCAAGAGTTACCATCCAAAAATCCATTGGGATGTCTATCTGCCCATCAGAGGTAAAACATCATACCTAGCAATTTTCTGAATGTATATAAAAATAAGAAGATCTAAACAATTGAGTCATTTATTATATAAATATTCCATAAATCCTTCTTCTTCAAAAATTATGCAATAATATTTGTATGAAAGTAGCAATGGAAAATGTTATATATTTATAAATAAATCATTTATGATGTGGTCTTCTTTTTATTAAATTATGAAAGGAATATAATCATGGCAATCTCTTAATCATATGCAAAACAACAACAACAACAACAAAAATCAAAATTTTGTACCTGGTTAGGGTGAAACATTAGACTCAGGTTATTAAAATGAACAAAAACCCCTATGTAATCATAATTTATATAAAACAAATCTTGTGATTTAGTGAAGTCTGTAACTTTGTTTTAATTTTGATATCAAATAAAAGAAACAATCTATAATTTCATGTATACTTTCTTTCTTAGCCGAAGACATGAGAACTCTGAACACTGCAAATTAAAAAAACTTGATTGTATGACAAAGAAGGGAAACGTAATTACTTAAAATGCTGTTTGGGGACCAGGGTATCAGATTCTCTATAACATTGAAAAAAATTATTATGTCAGCATGACTAAGCAGACATAAGTACATTAAAATACTAGTATGCTACACTCAACAGAAGAGTGTGGTTATCTACCAAGTTATATCCAATGGTTAGAAAGAGGTCATGTGATCATTCACAGTCCTTAGATAACACATTGATGTGTGTGTGTTGAAATAAAATGATAATTTTCTTAATGTAGTAATTTGTTGTTGATATCAACAGTAATTTTAGCTTATTTCACATCATCAAAAATATGAAAAATATCTTAAACAGGCAAAACAACTAAAGAAAACAAATGACATATAAAAAGACTGGCGTTATAAAATCACAGAATTCCATAATGTAATCATAATTTTATTCAATACAAATCATGTTATTCTCTACCAGGAATGCCTACATCCATTTGTCTAGTATGTGGGAGAGGTGGAAAGGGGGGATGAGGGAGGGGGTTAAGGGCTTTGAAACTTTCAATACCATCCTAGTAAACTGATGTTGAAGTCCAATATCCTGGCTTGTCCTACACTTTGAGCAATTCTTCTTTAACTTTTTGCCTTTCTCCTGCTGTTCTTACGACTGTTCATATATTACTATATAGTATTGATAATGTGTATATTTGTCCAGTTCAAGAGCTGAACTTGGAGTGTTCAAAGAATATGGAACTTTGCGGTAGTGAAGGTGAACAGAATTCATCACAGGATTTGGACGTCAATCAGAGAGTTCATCTAGTAAAATACATACACCTAATGTTAAATTGCTCTGGTAACAATGTTTCACTTATTATAGACTAAAACTCTATAAAAAAAAAATTAAAATTAATGAGGCATGTTAACATATTCAGTAAAATCAATCAAGTGTCTGAAATCTAGAAAGCTGACCAGTCAGCTAGTGCTCTTCTGGGGGATAAGGATGGGTTGAGAAAAAAAAATTGAAGCAAAGAATAAAAACAAAAGTATACATTAAAGGGAGAGCATTTAAGTGAATCTAGAAATCAGGCACAGGGCTAACAGCGAATTACAAAATACCAGTAAAGTTTTCAATAGCTTGCAGAATAGCTCAGTAGGGTATACAATTTAGTCTTACTAGTAAAATCTTACCCATTACAAGGAAAACGTAGTTTAAATTTTTTTTCTAATCTGCAAGTTGTCTTATTTGGCAAATTTTTATGGAACTGAAAGGTGTTTGGATTAAATCAATTTTACTTAGAAACAAGAGGCCCATGGGCCACATCGCTCATCTGAGCATATTAGCTATGAAAAAAGCAAAAATCAGTTCAGTATTGAAAAGTTTACATGGGGAGGGGGCTTAAATTTTAATCTACCTGACAGTGCTTCCTTATCAATATAACAAACGACTTTGCTGTTCTTGAGCTGAAGATTTTTTCCTTTATATTCGTTTGTAAAAATTTGATCCCCCATTGTGGCCCCACCCTACCCCCAGGGGCCCTCCTTTGAACAAATTTGAATCTACACTACCTGAGGATACCTCCTTTTCAATATGACTAATCATGGCTTTTCTGTTCTTGAGAAGATTTTTTCCTATATATTCATAAGTACAACTTTGATCCCCCATTGTGGCCCACCCTATCCCCTGAGGTCATGATTTGAACAAACTTGAATCTACACTACCTGAGGATGCTTCCATATCAAAATGACTAATCATGGCTTTTCTGTTCTTGAGAAGAGGAGTTTTAAAGAATTTTCCTATGTATTCCTATGATAAACTTTGATCATCCATTGTGGCCCCACCCTACCCCCGGGGTCATTATTTGAACAAATTTGAATCTACACTACCTGAGGATGCCTCCATATAAATATGACCAATCATGGCTTTGCTGTTCTTGAGAAGAAGGTTTTTAGAGATATTTTCCTATATATTTCTATGTAAAACTTTGATTACCCATTATGGCCCCACCCCAGCCCCGGGGGTCATGATTTGAAGAAATCTGAATTAACACTACCTGAGGATGTTTCCACATAAGTCTCATCCTTACTGGCCCAGTGGTTCTTGAGAAGAAAATTTTTAAGAGATGCCATTAATTTTTCACTAATTCCTAATTATCTCTCCTTGAAAGAGGGTGTGGCCCTTTATTTGAAGAAATTTAAATCCCCTTGACCCAAGGATACTTTGTTGCAAGTTTGGTTGAAATTGTCTCATGGGTTCTTGAGAAGAAGTCAAAAATGTGAAAAGTTTACAGACAGATGGACAGACAGACGGACGCCAGACAAAATGTGATCAGAAAAGCTCACTTGAGCCTTCGGCTTAGGTGAGCTAAAAATTATGAATTTTTTTTGGACAGATGGACATGAGAAAAGGACAACATAGACAAAGTGATTACTGTAGAGCATGTGCAAACACAAACATTTGTGAGGCCTTAAATATACCCTGATATATAATACATATATTAACAATAATTCAATAAATATTTTTCAGTATATATCACAATATATTTGAACAAAAATCATAATAGCAAAAATAATTAAAATCATTTCAGAAAAAAAAACCCTGAATGCACAATTGTTCACAAATGGTATACCTGTACTGGAATGGACAATATGGTTAGCAGGAAATATACATACTGGTAACCATCTTAAAAATATGAAGTATCCCATTGTACATTATCTTAAGAGAAATTACAGTCAAACCTCATTATCTCGAACTTGATGGAACTGAGAAAAAACTTCAAGATATCAGGGGTAAAATACTTAAAGAATAAATGGTTGGGATTTTCAAATCGCTCTGACATATCAATGGGATTCGAGATATCTGTGTTCGAGATACCAAAATTCAACTGTAGTGTATATCACAATAAAACAAAACACACACACAAAAAAACAATTAATTAAAATATAAATAGACATATCTATGTAGTATAACAAAAACATATATATGGAAGAAAAGACAAGGGGAAATTAAGCTTAAATTGTGTTTCAACACATGTTAACGTTATACAGTACAAATTTAACAAATGAATTTTTTTGCTCTCATATGAGATGAAAGTGTTTAATGATGAAATGTATTTACTATAAATGAGTTTTTTCTATTGCAGAAACTATGTGTTTATGAATTACAATTTTGAGCTTTATCTTATATGGAACATAATATATAGTATACTGTAAATAAGATTCAAGTATATATCTTATTACTATAAATACATGTATCTATCTTAGGACAGTAGAGGTTGTCTCTCTTCATCCTTTTCAGCCTGAATGGTGCAACTCTGTTCCTGATTTTCACAATTATTTGGTTTTCCATCTGTTTTTGTTTTCAGTTTCCTGAAAGACATTGATAGCATCAGCAGAGCCATTGCCAGGAGTCCTATCATCACACCAAACATAAGATAAGGTTTATCGATTGTTGAACCAGCCCACAAAGGCGCAATGATACAGCTTATTCCCACCACACTTCTTCTTATACCCTGGCTTAAACCCTGAGTCTCTTTCCTGGTCAGTTTTGAATATAATGATATAGTGCACACAACTAAAAATGGAAGAGCTAACATATCCAGAATAATGCCTATGGCAAAAAAAGCAATATTTTTCTGTGGAGTTTCTGGTGTGGAATGAGGGACAACATAAATTAGCCAACAGTTTGCTAAAGTAAGTATCGCACAACCAAACAATAACATCACACGATCTTGTAATCTTTTGCTGAGAAATCTTACTAGCATGAAAACAATGACTACTTCAACCCCAGCTAAGCAATACATAATACTGTTCTCAATTTCCCCCCAGTTGAGTAGTTTCTGTGACAATGGAGTTGCCATTGTTTCAAGGGCAACTTGGTTGAAAAAGCTGTTGAACTGCAAGGCAATCAGCACAATGATCTCCTCTCTTATATAATCATTATACAAAAGTTTCAGTGTCAGCTTTGGGCTTTTCTTGTTACTATCTGTAATTTCGTAATGTACATTTTCCTGTTGTCCAATCTTTTCTGCAGTAGTTTGAATTTTCTTTTCAATACTTCCATACAAAATATGAAGATCTGTAAAAAAGAAAATAAGAAAAATGCACTGTAATGTCCACATACATGCCATAAACGCACCTGGGGCAGTAAATTTATCGACAATGAATGGTCCAATATAGAAATTAGAAAGGCGGAGGAAGAAATTAAGTCCTGGTCCAAAAACAAGCCCTAACTGTCTCATTGATACAAGGGAAGAAATGATTCCTGTCCTGTCCTCTTCTGATGTGACTCGGCCTATTTCAGCTAAGATTAAAGCTTCCCCGCCGGCGCCTAAACCACTTACAAGTCTACTTCCCAAGAGAAACCATTTGGATATCCCCATGAAATACATTGTATTACCAGCCACCTCCCAAAATGTGCAAAGAATTAAAAGCAATTTTGGCCTCCTGAATACGTCTGAACATCTACCGATCACAGGTGAAAACAGAAGTGCTGAGAAACTGTAGGCTGACAACACAAGTCCGAGGAAATACGGGTGAACGTGAAATTTGTTCTTCATGTACAACCACAGCGTGGGGAGAATAACTGCGTACTCGATTCCTCCCATCAGGAAAAACAGCCCACAAATAACATAAGTGACGCGTTTTCTGCATTTCAGGGACATTTCAGTTCAAAACTTTCGCTGTTCTGTTGGAACGTTGAATGGTGTCCACCCGGTTTCACTGCACTTTCAGCAGAATGACACTTTACTTCCGGTTTGTAGCTACATGTTATTTCAATCAGCATTGTTTCGATTTTTCGCAAGGCCAAGGGTGTTATTGGTACTGATTAGTGATTACCCGTTTGAATATCGTAGTTAAATAGAAAAGGACATATTTATTATTTTTTTCATCAGAGTTCAAAACAGAGAAATATGAAATCATTACAATAGTCAGAAAAATGCAAAACATTGCTCATGTTCATGTACAACAATGGTACTAATCTATGACAATATTATTTCAGGTAAATATTATTAACAGTGTAAAATAAATATATATACGTAGTCAAGGGACAGGGAGGGTTTGTGTCTCCTTTAATTAAATAAGAGGTCCATGGACCACGGTACCACAACACTCACATGAGTAACTATGGCTCTGCAGCCCCCCCCCCCCCCCCGATATTCCTATGTAAAATTCTTATCACATATTGTGGCCCTACCCTACCCTTGAAGTCATGATTTGAATAAACAGGTAACACACTACCTTACGATGTTTTTAAATCAATATGACTAACCATGCCTTTGCTGTTCTTAGGGATTTTTTTTTATATATGCCTATGTTAAACTTTGTTTACCCATTGTCATTTGTGGCACCATCCTACCCCCGGGGGTCATGATTTGAGCAAATTTGAAACTACACTATGTGATGATGTTTTCACACAAGTTTCTTCTTTTCTGGCCCAGTGGTTCTTGAGAAAAAGATTTTTGAAAGATGTCAGATTCTTAATGATTTCCCCTTGAAGGAAGGTGTAGCCCTTCATTTGAACAACTTGAATCTCCTTTACCCAAGGATACTTTATGGCAAGATTAGTTGAAATGGGCGCAGTGGTTCTGGAGAAGATGCACAAAATTGTGAAAAGTTTTCGATAACGACAGACAACGGACAAATTTTGATCAAAAATATCACTTGAGCCTTCGGCTTAGGTGAGCTACAAAGGGAAGTCTTTTTCTCCATTATTATAATTATGTCTTCTTCTTCGATTATGAAGTTGAACTCATATATGAGTGTAAATCCCCCCCTTTTCAGGTAAAAAAAAAAAGTTCGCTATCCCTTAAAAATGAAAAAAAAAATATTTACAATCTTTATATTTCCATCCCATTTTCAAGCCTCTGATCTAGTTTTACTAAGAAATACTCCAAAGATTCGGCAGTGGTGATGTACTTTGGTATAAAGTGAGAAAGTACGTGATGGTAAACCTTCCAATCGTTGTTATTCCTCTTTTGTCAGATCTGGTGTCGCTGGCGCGTCCTGGTTCCTAATTTTTGTAGCACATTTGAAACCAGCATGTGCTTTACTAGTACGGACTGTTTGCCATTTAAGCCTGTCCAGCATCGCTGTTACATCCTGGAGTCATGTAATCGTTGAACACGAATCTAGCAGCTCTATTTTGCATTGCTTTAATGTCCTAATTGATAGCCTGATAAGGTTCCCACACTGCCAATGCATATACCAGTGTTGTTCGAATAAGCATGCACTAAGCCTTGGCCTTGACCTCTGGTCTGCATCTGTTGAGGTTAATTAAATTACGACTCAGGAAGCCAATTTAAGGGTTCTGGTTGTCTTGCCTATGTTACTATTTTGATATGCGTCGTCCAGTATCGGTCCTCATTGATTGTGACTCCCAGATACTTTCTGCAGGATACTACCTCTAAATTGTGTCCATGAAGCTTGTATGTATTTTGCAGGGGATTACGTACTTTAACGTTTGCCAGTGCACTTCTCTGGATGGAAACTCATCTTCCAAATACCTTCAAAGGCGTCGGGAGCAAATTAAAAGTGGGGGCTGATTGAAGAGAAAAAAAAATCAAACCTGAAAAAAAAATTGACAAGCAAAAAAAAAAGTTTAGGAACTACACCCCAATGTTCAATAACTATATTATATATATCTTTGCAAAAAAGTGGAGGGCTAAACCCCCCTACCCCCCCCCCCCCCGCCTATGACCTTCCCAACTCTCCTGAGAAGTGGGGTATAATCTTAAAGTGCTGCTGCATCTCTCTGGTTCCGTATCGTACGGTACACCTAAGAGCATTGCGTCTGCGTGATTTGGTGGACTGAGGGAAGTCATTATGCCAGAAGAAGTAGAGGACCGAGAACTGTCCCCGTGGCACTCCAGACAAGACTTATAATGTAAATAGACTCCTAGCTGTCTTCAGTAAGACAGATTGTGTTTTATTACTGAGAAAATAAGGTTTGAAAAAGGAAACAGTGAGTTCAAGTTCAAGCGCAATTTATTAAAACCAAAATACTGGCATAAGTTGAAGAGGTACAATAACTGATTACTATATACATGATATGATCATAGGCGCTCCCCGTGTAAGTTTGTAGATGACGAAATGATAGTCTACATAGGTCTACCCCTCTATACTATAAAATCAACTATAAAAATATAGAGGGGTAGACCTGTGCAGATTATCATTTCATCTACAAACTTACATGGGGAGCGCTAATATATTTTTTGTTTGTTAAAGTGATGATGCTATTTCATGATATTGTTAAACCTCACAATGCTGTGAATTTATTATAGATTGTTCTTGATGTACTGAAAATGTAAATAAAATTCCATTTAAAATTTATTCTTCGAGATTGCATGATTCCCGCCAAAATGTCAAGGGTGATTGCGTCACAGGAAGTATGATTTTTACAGTGACCTCGTTTTCAAGACGGGAAGCCGCCATCTTAAAGTGGAAGAGTTGAAAAGTTTGAAGTAGAGGAAGGTGGAAGCCGCTTAAACTTTCCAAAATTCCTCTTTATAGTCCAAAAATGCCGTTGGCGCACTTAGCAGATCCTTGGAAAAGGATGGAGGTGGCCCAGGATACTGAGGTTAACATTTGTTACATTTGGCGGTGAAACAATTTCGGAATTCTCGTGTCAGTCAAGTGTTTATTTAGCAACACTTGTATGTCGAAGACTGCTACCCGATTTTCATGGTCTATTGGCTTGTGACACAATTTTTGGAGTGTTTAGTTCAGTTCGTAGGCCTACTAATAATGTGTTCTTATTTATCTTTTGAATAAAGTTGTCATGATGTTTCATAAAAATTGGGAAAATCAGGAAAATTGTCACATGTGCAGGAAGACTTTTCGTGATGAATACAGAAATTTAAAAATAAAGTTCGTGTTATTGATGGAATTTTGGAAATAGTTGTTTGATGATAGGTCTGGAAATTTTAATTCTTCTTTGCTCCATGTATTTTTGATGTGAATTTTTAGTCAGGTGTGATATAAATTATATCTAGGACATTTAATTCAAAGTGTAAGTTATTGTCAAGTTATGCCTCAATTTTACCACAGGTTTCAATTGATAAAGGAAATAAATTGATTTTGGGGAATTTGATACTGAAATAAATCTTTGTAACCTTAACGATTAAAAAAAATCCTGTGTAATATTAAATTTTCAGTTGTTGCTCTTTGGTGAAATAGGTGAAAATATCCATAGCTTGGAGACATTAACACATGATATAATTTTTAATATTTTCTTTACAAATTTGAAATGTAACCAAAAAAAAAAAAATTAAATATTTCATAAATGATATGATAAAATATTTATTTTTTTATGTGACTTGAATCAGACCTTATGATGGGTGAACAAGGAATGTTGTTATTCTTGGCAGGGTGTTATAAAAGACAGGAGTTTGGTGAAAAAAAGCATCATTCTCCAGGCTTAAAGCGACAGTACGGCTGCAAAATATGTGCTTTTTCATCCAAATTTACCCAATATGTCATTAAGAAATAAGGTATAAAGTTGATGTAAGCAGTTTGAGAAACAGAAATATTCTCTACTCAAACAGAATTAACGTAATTAGAATCTGCCGGAAAATCAAGGGTCGTACGAACTGGAGCAATCTTAGATCTGTTTATTTGTACCACGTGAATTCTGAAACGGCACGTGCCTACACTGTAGCGTTTACATTTATAATGAATATTAGGTGAAAGCAATTTTCAAAAACACAAATTATCATAACTATCTGATAAAATAATCTAAAATAATAAACGAAAAGATTTTAGTCTGCATTCAGGCGAATTTAACAGAAATTAAAAGTACAAATGTTTACGTTTTGTGTATTGGGGTCCGAGAAAGGAAAAACCAACTAATCATACGTTATCGCGGCAAATGTCAAACAAAATGTTTCTGCACAGTTAAAAAAAATTAGCATTTCAAATGGCAACAATGTTTATAAGTCAAAGATGTATTTTTTATGTTGAGATTACACTATTTTTTTTCTTTGAAAGCGACGGAAAAATGAGGAAATGATAACAAGTATCAACAAACCTGTCGAATAGAACCTTCGAGAGCCCTGCGTGAGTGTCGCCGAGTTCCCGTTTCTTCCTTATCCAGCGATTATATTAATCCCCAAACTAAATTTTAGTCAGGAAAGTTGCTTTTACAAGTTCTGTTTTCAGTTTCTTTTTCTTTTTGGTCGACTTTGTCAATGTAGCAGGCCTACCGGGATTCCCTCTCTAACCATGCTGTTTTGTTTATGAAAACTACGCATGCGTGCATAGCATGGAATGTGGAACCCCGAACACGTTGCGATGTATATATTTACGTCCCATGAATAACTATTAATTTTAATGAAATAATCCAAATTATTTAATTGTAAAAGTTGTAATTTTCTGAAAGTTTATACATTTATGAGTAGTAAAAAAAATTCCAAATCTTGTCGGAAAATTTTATCTAGTCAGTTTTTTGATGAGACGCGCCGTACTGTCACTTTAATTAGATCTTTATACTTGCAGCTGGTCTTAGCAAAGATGAATGGAGAATTATTAAGAAATAGCTAAGAAATGACACACACTTTTGAATTTAAATATATTTTATCTGACAAGCATTTTCATTGAGTACACATTTTCTTGTCAAGAAATGATGGTTATGAATTCCCAGTAGGGCTCTGTCAAGTAAGTGTCAGACTTGGCAGATTTTGACAGGACCAAGTCCAATCAAACGTACATTTCAAAGACCCAGATTTTCTTGCTTCCTATGGAAAACCCCCTTAGACAGTAGACACTCCATAAAGAAAAGATGTTTCAGTCTATTCTCCCAATTCAGGACCAAGAATCTTGTCATAGGACAATCTATGATAGTTACTTCAAGTCATTATCCATTAGAACAACATCATGAAATATTGTGTGCACATTTTATTTTGAACATTTTCACATTGTAGGCCCCCTCCACTGAAGACATGCTGGTAGATGAACAGGTAAGATTTAAAATTTTGGAAAAATTTTAGATAAATTTGTTTTTTTTAATTAGACCTCAATTTAGCTGTTTCCTTAGTTGAGTGCACAGACTCAGACTGTAAGTTACCTAGTTATTATGACTGAAATGTTACTGGATTTAAGGTTGATGATATCAGATTGACATGCACTCTAAGTCATTTGGTTTGTTAACATTATAAGTTTGCACTTAACAGTTTTACCACTACAGCATATTAAAAAAGTCCAAAAAATGTCAAAATCAAAAAAAAAAAATTATAAGAGTAGGTATAAAACATATATATATCAATGAAAAATATTCTTATAATTCCATCTGTGTTGATGGGAAGGGAGGAATTTTAAGAAGTGAAGCAATTTATGTTCTGTGTTGAATTTTCTCTTTCTGTTTTATTAGAATGATAACGACACTGACAGGGTGATAAATGTTGCAAATCTCATGAAAGATGGAGAAAAGGTTGAACCAAAAGATTTTGAGCTACTGAAAGTGTTGGGACAGGGCTCATTTGGAAAGGTAAGTTGTTCATAATTTACATGTTAAGACAGTGTAGTTAGTGAGGATATGAATATTTTATAAATTCTCCAAGACTTATTTGCTGGGATCAGCAATGTGTAAGATCAAACTAGCAAACACATCAATTTGTGAATTTTGGTGTGATTTATGACATAATACAGCTTTTTTTTCCTTTTATAACTGGTACCGATAAACTGTACCATTCCCAATTCCAAAAAACGTTAATCTTTCCCAATTTTGAGACTAAAAATTCCCAATTCATCTGCCAAGCAACAGACTACAATGACCTCATATTTCTTTTTATATGAAACATACAAGTTGACTAATTGTTTCACTACCGCTTTAAATCGAAAATAGAGATTAGTCGTAATATGGCGGGACCTGTGATGTAGACAGCATAGCGTCATACATTTTGACAAATTGAAAGCATGAAAATATGAAAACAAGGCACATTGATATGAAAAACAATAAATATTGTTTATTCTTGAAAACACGGAATAGTAGGTAATGAGGTTGGAATAAACGCAAAAATACGTGTCATTTGTTTAAATGACAGAAAATTCTCCTTTGTTCTACTTTGATACTATTTTTCCCAATTGAACCAGTACCGGACCCTTTCCCAATGGGTAGGGGTGAAACGATACACCTCCTTCACGGTTCGATACGTATTGTATAATTTTGTCTTGGTTCGGTTATTTTCGATACGATACATTTTGATAGAAGGAAACAAATTCTACGTTGTTTTATGCTTTCTTTTTCTAAATCTAGTCGCATATTTTACGAATTTTATTTGCAAATTGACTAGAAGAAATTGATTAAAATTATTTGACTGTCAAAAATTATTTTACAAGCTATCAGTCATCAAAAATTTACGTTTTCTATACTTATTTATTCTGGGTAACGTGTTATATCTTATGCCAAACCCGACTGAATAACGATCTCGACCGAAAAATGAACCAAACCGAAAATTAGAGATTTTGCACCGTGTATCAAACCGAGAAAAAATACCGCGGTGCATGGATACCGCGGTGAACCGTTTCACTCCTACCAATGGGTAGAAAAAAATCGCTCTAATACAGAAATAATCAATTAATAAACATGTACAGTATGATACTGAGGCATCCTGTTGTACAAAGGAAACTTATTCAGAAAATGCCAAAAAGTTAGCAATGGTAATTCATTATTGATCACCCCTGAACTATTCAGTGTGAAACTGGCCACTTCCATAAAGTCTGTTAATAAAATTTTCTAGTAATTAATGCTTCAGAAGGTTCTGAGCTTAAATCGTTTTTCACTGCAATAAAAATCTTCAGCATTGTCCATTTTATGATGAGATAGGAACTAAAAAAGATTGTAATATGAAGAATTTTCCCATTCTGTATAAAGCTGTAAATCCCTAGGGTGAATGAGCTGTTAGACTGAGATAATCCCTCTAGTAAGAAGTTTAAATGAAAATCATTGTTGACCACATTCACTAGAAGGATAAATTGGATATACATCATGAGGATATGCAGGCAATACTGATAATGCATTGGTTGAATAGAGTCATTGACTAAGAACAGTACCTCGATAAAGTGTATAAAACCATATTCAGTCAAGGTGTATTCATGCATCAATTGATTTAATGAGAGAGATTTCATTGTCTTTCATCATGATTCCCTGGCATTTCTGGAGTATTACCATTGATAAACCAGGTTTTGCATCTATAGAGTTTCAGTGTTTCTTCACTAAACCAAAGGTCTTGGGGGTATTTTGCAGTTTAGTCCCTGGAGTTGTTAATATGTGAACAGTCTTTCAGGCAATAATTGAAAATGGTAAAATTCACTTCTTCTGTCACTGACAAAGTCACAGAGATTATATTTTAAGATTGACAGCATGTGCTGAATTGCAAGCCTCTCTTCATTAACAGGTGTGATTAACTCTATAGAGACCTTTTTTCTTTCCTTGGGTGATGTACGGCATAGGGAGAGATATAAAACCAGTCTTCACCCTCTTTGGGGAAATGTTGAAAAATGAGGAGACTGTTCAAGCAACAATCAATAAGTCATATTAGCAGGCAGTGGTGAATTGTGGAGAGAATTTTGTTTATTGGACAGTGAACATTCCCTCTTCATTTGACAATTTATCTGTTTGAGTGGCTCTGGGTCTCAATTAGCTAAATTAAAAATACAGAATTTCACACTGAAGTTAGATGGCAGCTTTCTCTCGTTTAATGTTTAGATAATTTTTTTTTGTTTATAGCCAGCCTAAGGCTCTAATGATTTTTTTTTTCTTCAGAAATTTGGGCTTCAGATGCCATACCACTATATATCATATTGTCATTGGATAAAATATCAGAATCCTATGGATATAAATATCAGTCTAGGTGCTACTAGATGCAGTTCACAATTTTCTGAGTTGAACATGTTGTTACATGTAAAGGCATAAAGGTCACAAGAAACACAGTATTTGCATATATATTTAAACTTTAGGCTGTCCAAAGTTAATTCTACGTTTAATGTCTCCTACAAAATTCAAAACCTACCAGGAAACCCCTGGAGGGAAAAAACAAACAAATAAAAATTTTAAAAAATGTGTATATATTCAAATTAATCTATTCAGTACATAAAAAGGACACTGTTGAGTAATAAGAGTATAAGTTTGATGTCTAAGGCTAAATCAGTTTTGCATTTCACAGGTAAAAAGATTTTCCGAAGTACACATATTGGCTTGCATCCTTTTTTTGAGCACACAAAGTAGACTGGATGTGCAGAAGATTGACTTGCAACTAGGTCTAGTAGTATATCCATTGAATTTATATCACCACATACATGATACACTGTAGAAAAATGCCTCTTCTTGTGGAAATAGTTTACCAATGTCTACAATTAAAACTAGATGCTGTCATGAGACAGTAATACCCGCACTAAGGTGTTTGCCTCTAAATGCACACTCCTTCATATTTGGCTTACCAAGGAAAAAGTCCAAATAATTCTATATTTACACAGTACATGTATTCGTCAAATCGAGCATAAAATGCTCAGGTGACCATGTGACCCATGAACCTCTTATACACATTTCATATACTTAATTCATTACCAGTCTGAAATAACAGAATTTAATTAATGATGTAAATTAGGTTTTGATAAAAAGGGGGGGGTATAAATTTTTGGCCCATAGTGGAACTTTTTAAATTTATTTTCTCAACAACAAATAATATTATTTTAGTACAAAGCGTTTTTGATGAATTTATCAAAATGTGCAAACTTTTTTTAGTATTTGATTAGGCAAAAACCTCCTTGAAAAGCCATACCCAATCAATTTTGTCACCCCCCCCCCCCCCCCCAACACACACACACAATTTGCCTGTTTTTGGAAATAGGCCTAGATGGCAAAGTTATGTTAAAACATCGTTTGTTATGATAATTTAGAATTTGTTCCTGTACTGTACCTGTATGTGAACACCTTTTTGAAAATTTCTACATCACATTGGGCTTGCGTCACCCTACCAGTACTAGTACTAGTTTTACCATTATCATCTTTAGATTGCACATGGTGCAGTGTTACATGTATATCAGTGGAAATTAATTCATTTTGTGTTTTAATTGGATTATATTTCATGAAGTTGACAGGACCTATGACAGTCGGTAAGTACAAGTTTAAGTATAGATTGGGGTAAAATAAATCGAAATGCAAATGGTTAGGTTAAAGTATAAAAAGGATCAAAGATCATCGGCAATCTCCTATGCAGAGTTGTCGTTCGTTTCTCTCTTAGACACTGAATGTATGAGCCGATGGTAGAGAGTGGATCATAGACGAATTTCACATTCTGAAGAGTTATCTCCCGTTGTCGACATTACATTCAGTTACAGGCACAGATCCAGGAATTTTTTTCCGGGGGGAAGGGGGGGGGGGCACACCTCGGTAAAAAAAATTCCAGCCCAGAATTTCCTGAGGAGCAAAAAAAAAACAAAAAACAAACAAACAAACAAAATAAAAACAATGATGGTGGGGTCCATGTTTTTAAAGGGGGAGGGCATCTGTCATTTTTTATTTGCTTCTGTAGATCAGTATATAGTCCTATTTAAATAACTCTGCAAATTCCAGGGGGGGGGGTGTTCCAATCTCCCTAGCCACTCCCTGTCCCTGAAATGACAAATGATCATGTGACTCCTAAATAGTAGAAAACTTTTCCATTTGACTATACATAATTTTGTTTCTTGTGTTATTATATTATGTACATTTAATGGTTTAAGGTTATGAACCCCTGGACGTCATCCCCACTCTCTTAATAAACTGGAAATGTTCATAATTTGGCTACATCAAATTAAATCAAAGTGCATCAATGATAAGATTACTTGACATTTCATTCATGAATTTGGGTCAGTTCCCATGTACCCTCCTAGAATTAGGAATGAAAATCATTCAAAGAGATGAACCATTAAACTATTTGTATATATTCACATTTTTTTTTATGTCAAACCAAAGTATTAGACTAGTTTGCATACATGAACAAGCAGGGGTCTGGGAAGGGGAAGGGGCAAGGGGAAGGAGTTATCTCTTTACGTCTTAATTGTTGAAAACTCCTAAAATGAATGTTAACCTCAAATCCGACTTGTACGTCTTCATTATTTTTAAATGGTGTTGTCTCCGTATGAGTGAAAAATTCCCAAGAGGGACATTTAACAACAAACAAACATTAATGACTTAAAAAACACAATATACATGTACATGTTTATTAGTCAACAGATATACTTCTGGTCAAATCTCTAGTTCTCCCTTGAATCAGAAATGAATGATATAAATATTTTAAGAATGATTAAGAGTTGAAAATTAAGGTTGTGCATTTTAAAATTCACTAAGCTCTGTGGTTGAATTAGCTATACCAGCTTAGCTTATTTTGCTACTCAAAGCACCTTGATTAACTATTTTTAATCATACTGTTTTCTGAAATGTGAAGTTTTTTCAACATGGATACAAGTCATACCTTTTCAGCTTCTGAAAACAATGCATGAAAAAAA